TACGACTTGATAGAGCTTGTGTGATCAACCTTGCATCTCCCTAGCAAAAATCAAAGAAACCATGAATATATATTTTATTTATTTATTGCAACCAAAATTTTGGATTTCAAATACAAATAAAACACATAGTCATAAATAACAACGGTAGAAATAATTGACACAACGAATTTATATAGAGTAAACAAATTGTGCGGTACTTGAGTGGAATAATACTTATGTGGTTGCTACGCTCAAATCATTACACGGTATCAAATTAAATTTTATGTCAGTTTATGGGTACAATATTGCATATAGAACATCAAAACTGCATGTAGGTAATGTATAGGTATAACTAAAGTAAATTATGAAGAACTTATTATTAAAAGGGAAATGATAACGGGTCAAATATGAAAAGTTACTGGTCAAAAATAGTACATGGATTCATAGTAAAAAGTTGAAATTGATTTGGAGATTGTTTCACCGTCGGTTGAGAGCCAGAAGGGCGTTATCTCATGTACTTTTTACAGACCTAATACATTCTCCCGGCTCTAAACAGACGATATGCAATTTTAAGTGATATTCAAGCATTATATGACTAAAATGACCAGAGCCCCGTAGCATAAAACTAACCATTGATGGTAACTTTGCCATCAATAGCAACTACCATGGTAACAGGGCTCAACAGCCAATCAAAATCAAGGTTTCCATTGTAGTTACCATTGATGGCAAAGTTACTATCAATGGTAAGTTTTGTGCAACGGGGCCCAGGGGCTTCTATTTCACTGGGCATTTTATAATTGAATAAAAGAGGGGCATGTATCTTCAGGCTAATGGGGGGGGGGGGGGGGGTAGGGGTGGATACTGTGTAGTGTGTACCATAATACGAGAGAGACTATTTACATCTCCTTTCCTAATCTAAATCCTGGGTACGCCTGGATAGACCACTCAAATATTGAAATATTACCTGGAGTGTTTTTTGCGTCAGGGTCACCCTTGTTTCTTTGTTGTCTCGCCTGAGTATGGCAATCTCTTGCTCATGTTGTCGTTTCTTGAACTGAGAACTTTCATAGTAGGCCCTGTGGTCACGCTCTGAACACAAAAATGGTTAAAAAAACCGAATAATAATGATAATGATAATGATAATAATAATAATAATAATAACAATGAATAATAATAATAATAACAATGATAATGATAATTATAATAATAATAGTAGTAATAATAATAATAGTACCTCGTAAGTGGCAAATGTGGAATAACATTTTGCCAAAGCAATTAGTGTCGGGCTGGGATTTGAATTCTAAACCTTTGGATTGAGAGTCCGCAACGGAATGAACCAATATACCACGACACCAGTCCTACTCATCATCTCATCACTGAGCATAGTTATACTGTACGTCCCAGAAAAAACGAAACCGAGAATTATCGATGTTTTATTATAACTTAGTCACCTTTATAATTAATACATGACACATATTTGGAAAGCTTAGATCACCCTCTTTCATTTGATGCAACTCATTATGATGCATATTCCACGCATGAATGATTAAAATGAATTTGAAGAGAGGAAACCAAAAGGTCATTTGGCGGACGGTATCTGAATTTCAAAGAGAACATCAAATTTCAAGAAAGTTGAGTTTCTGCCCTTCATAATGATATCTCAATCAGGAAAAATGAGCAAGGAATGACAAAGTTCGGTTTTTTTAAAGTAGTGCTTGCATTTCCATAATTTTATCAAACAAATTCGTTTTCACTGGCTGCCATTCAATTGGATGGGATTAGTTCTCCGCGCCTCACGTGGTGAACCGCAGTAGGCGCTGCTGAGTAATGTTAGTCATAGTCATTCATGACTACGTATAACAGTATAAGGGCGGGGGTAAAGAAGGGTGGGTGGGATTCCCCTGCATGGACAATCATAACATTTCTTGTACGGGTTTCCAGCATTTGGTTACCAATAATGGTTATGAACAATGGCTTATATACAGGGGGCACGGGATTGCGTGACCCTCCTCCCGCCTCCAATCGATAATATAATAATGTAATAATTGAACCAAATACATTTGTGTAGAATCATGAGAAATCAGGGATCGAGCATCACATTCCTAATATTTGTTTTATTCTCCGTGAACTTTGGTCACCTCATGCAGGGAATCAAAGCACAGTTTCTTTAAATCTGATATACCTCCTTTATTATACTATACTACTGCTGACGTAATTACCGATCTGGGATTCGAACCCTCAACCTTTCGAGTTAAAGTCGAGTGAAAGAACCACTATACCACAATATTTTGTCATACCTTTGAGGGCGACTTTACCCCGGTACTGCTCGATGTTGTCATAGATTGTCCACGCACTGGCCATCGGCTCTTGCCCTTTCGATGGACCCATCATCGGTGGTCACTGATCACGCTCGATGGTAGTCAATGACCAGGGTGAATACAAATAGATATGTTTAAGCAGGCAGGTTGGTGTGTTGTGATGAAGAAGGTGCTTGGCAGAGAATATAGGCCTATTCGTGGAGCTAGGCCTTACTGGAATTCGGAGAAAACTGTTTGAGAAACATAGATAAAAGGAGTGAGTTTTTGGATCGAAATAACATTTAATCGATTTCAGGATTCGGCTTGTGAGAAATTTAGAATGTACCCTTCGGGGATTGAGCTAATGTGACAGGACCGATTTTTTGCATCATAATAGTTATAGGAGTCTATTCTATTCTAGATCTATTCTTGTTTTTATCAGCAGCACTATTGAAAATGTAATCATGCTGGAATTCAACAAAATCAGCACAATAATTCATGTTATAAATCGTAATCATTATCATTATTATTATTATTATCACAATATTATCGCCATCACCATCATCATCATCGTCAACAAAATCATTATCATTATCATCATTATTACTGTCATAATCATAATTCCATCATCATTATCATAACTAATTACCACTCCTATCATCACCACTATCACCACCATTATTTTCATAATCACCATCATCTTTATCATCATTAATATTATCACACCATTTCCGTTGTCAATTTAAATTAATCACCTCATCATTATGAACACTACAATCATTATGCCTAGATCTATCCCCAATACCATAATCATCATAATCATTATCGTCATCTTCATAAGACTATCACCATCATCTTCATCACCATCACCATCATCACCATCATCATCATCATCATCATCATCATCACCATCCCCATAATTATCACCATCACTTACCATGCCCCCTAAGCTGGAATTAAGTTTCCCGACCGCTTGCGAGGCGCCAAAGCTTCCTATTTTCCCGCTAGTTTAGACTCCAACAGCATTATTTTTAGGGGTAAAGCCTCGAGCTTCCAACGCGCACCTGTTATTTCAAAAGTGATTTAGATACGCTGCAAATACGCTCGTTACGCGCATTCGACATGCTCATTCACCACCAATCCAGTATTGTGGATGCGTAGAGAATAAGCGTATATTTCATATTAACGCGTTATGTAGTACTGTCTGAATGGTGCGCGCACAGGTTTTAGGGCAAAAAATCTCTCTTCTTGACGTGCGTAAGAGCTGTTCATGTTATCTCGCAATTGCCAATGCCAACATTTCCTGAAACATCACAGAGTACAAAAGAAGTACTTATCAACAGCCCTCAGCACTCCCAATCCTTCGAACTTTGAACTTTCTGCACTACTTAAATAATAACTATCGTCCAGTTAATATACATATACCGAGATACTGGCCAAAATTAGAGGGGAAAAAATAGCTACCAAAAAGCAAATTTTCGGCTTAAAATCTATATTTTACACACTGCATAATTATCTCAATGGAATTGATATCAACTGGAAGTATTTTAGTCATCCTTCATTTGACACAACATCCATGGCAGGCGCGTACGCAGGGGGGGGGGGGGTGTTTTTGGGGTTAACCCCCCTCGAATTCATTTATTTAGGGGTGCTGATTTAAAAAAAAAATAATGCTCCTTAACCCCACCCCCTCCCCCCTGCACTGAGCGAAATAAATTTCGGGGGGATGGGGCAAAAAAGGCTCACTACCCCCCTCCCCCACCCCCACCCCAAAACTGAGCGAAATATCGGTCAGCGCGATTTTGAACTTTTAAACACCCTCCTTGAAAAAAATCCGGCGTAAACAGGATTTAAACTAACCAAACATGTCCTCGATACACTTAAACAACTATATAAACCGCTTAGAGGCAATTTGCAATTTGCGGTATACAAATATCTTATTATTATTATTATTATTATAGGCCTATGCAAATAGTTATTACACAATATGGGCAAACATTTTCATTTTTGTGGAAATTAGATCACTAAATTCATGGTAGTTGAAGGTTTTCCTTAATTTCATCAAAAGAGCCGCTTTTTTGGACGTCCTTTCCGATTTAGGGGTGTTCGATCGAAATTGAATAAATCAATACCTCTGAAATATATTGTGTATTATGATAAAATCTCGCGAATTTACAAGGGGTGTTTAGTTTGTGGTAGTGGCAACCAACCCCAAAACTTAGTATTATTGGACTTTGGCCCTTCGTTCAATAGCGTGTAACTATATTACATTAATTTCGATCAAAGCTTACATTCAGCGAGGAATTCAATCTAATATGCTATGTAAATAGGACCTATGCTATGACGTGGCAGCCTTTTCTTGTAAAAAAAAGGCCATATTTCTTGCCCGATAATAATTTGTGGCACATTTACTCTTTCGACAATGAGGAATAATATTGTAGTAAGCTTTAATAGAGGCATATGAAAGTAAATCGATTTCAAGTTAAATATTGCAGGTGCGCAGACATAGGCTTCCAAGGCTCCCAATCATAATATTCAGCTTGGTCTATCGCCGATCTGGGGTTGGTCTCGTCGGTGGAACTGCGGCATATAGTGGCATATACTTGTCACGTAAATGCTCGTAACTGTTGTAGCAAAATCATTTCTTTCTAATTTCCTGCTCGACGCTTGCATGACATGCTGATGTACAAGATATATACGGACGAAAAGAATGGAAAATAGTTTAGTTGCACTGTATAACACACTCTTCTGCTGATACAACGCTGTAACACACAAGGAGCATAGCCTTTGGGACAAAGCTATAGAAACTGAGGTGGTAAGTGGAATTCATTTTTCTTGTACTGATGTTTCAGTTTCAGCTAATTGTTTTTTGTTGTTGTAATAAATAAATTTGAATTTCACAATGTTCACACACAATTAATGGTACTAACAAACTTGAGGTCAGTGGAATCCATTTTTCTAGTACGGCCTATTGATGTTTCAGTTTCAGTTCAATTGTTTCATTTAACAAAAACAAATTTAAAAAATGAATTTTACAATGTTCACACACAATAAATGATAATAACTAACAAACATGAATTCTATGTCATTATAACTGAGAACATAAAAAAGGCACCTCGTATCTTGGCGTTGTGGCGTGCGCCTGTAATCCAGCTAACAGTGGAAGTTACAAACTGATTCAGGCGAAGACGCAGGTTCGAAACTGAGTCACGTCTTTCGGATGGTGACGTTTAAAGGTCGGTCCCCAGACGTAAATAATCATATCTCACGTCTGTGAAAAGAATAAAAAAAGAATACACACACACACACCTCGTATCTGATACTAGTTTGTATGGAGTGTTGACCGAGAAAGTATTGAACCAAAAGAAAATTGATTTCAGTATGGATGGGCCTAAGTTAAATAAGCATTTGTAAGTTATCAACCCCACAGGTTGTGATTGAAATAAACGGTTACATCAATGCGTGATCTAATGGATAAATTGTTCGTACAGACAAAATTAATGTAAATTAAAGTTATAGAATTTGCATTAAAAAAGGGCAATGGATGTTAGCGTCAAAATATTTTTTAAAAAGTTCACATTATCATTCGATAAATTTGTTATTTTTACCCACTAAAAATAATACAAACTGGAAGCGAAACGAGATTGTTCTTACACCTATTCAAACGAATAGTATTATTAATGGCATTAATGTATGGAGTTTCCTGTCTTTGGATAAAATGACCCTTCATTCAAAGTTTGCACTCACTGATGTTTAGATCATAATTATAAACATTATTGGAAGACAATGTTCTTCTAGCACTATCGTTGTGTTTGTTTACATTATATTTCTCTATTGACACTTGTCTTATTGATACTTGTCGTATTGACACTTGTCTTATCTATTTTGTTTACATGTATATCTTAATCAACGTTTAGGAATTATTTGGCCAGGTCCTGATACCTCTTGCTAAAATGAACATTTTAATTCAAAGATCCTATTTATTTCATGTCATCAGAACAGAGATAGACCCTTCGATGTATGGGTATTGCCCGAATGTAATTCATGAAAGTTTCAGAATTGTCGGGAAGCTGCAGTCGCGTCCCCTTTTTTAATTTTCAGACGTGTAGCATATTATATGGAAACGTTTGCTTGGAGTTGTCTCATAAAGAAGTTGACCACAAACTAAACTCCCACACAGTGTTGAGTGCATGGGTCACGGGCCACTGGCTTCATCGGGCAGGTATAATGCGTGTGCATGCGGGACTTCCAGGTCAAAAAAGTCAATTCAGGCGCTGCATGCATGGAGGTTATTGGTCGAGCGTTTAGGCTTCCTTTATTTCAACAGCAATATACATACACAACCAATCAAAAGAAGTTTAATACCAGAAGAAAGCTAACGATTATTATATTCATTAGCCGCTCACTCCAAAGCCGCCTGCCCACAATGGAATGAGTGAGGGGTTGCGAGAGCGGTCGAATTAGGTGCAATTGAAACTCGCTATTTTGCCCTTCTCCAACGCAAAAAGAGACGACATTGTGCTGGATTAATATGTTTCTTTCAGACAAAAGTACAGAGAAATTGCTTTATTATTTTTTATATTATACTTTCAACTCCCGGGCACCCCAATGCTGGAAAGAAAGTCAAGTTTGAGAAAACTTCACATTTTCATGCAAACATGCTAATGGCTATGCACGCAAGTAAGCTTGAGCGGATCAACGTTTCCATATGGGGCATGTTTTTAATGACCACTGTTAAAACGATGATATCGAGTCAAAATAAATTGATCAAACAAAATAATGAACATGGCTATAAATCGAAGTAACTTTTTGTTTCTCTTCATAATCTACAGATTTTACAGGTGAATCGAAAAGCAGGGAATCAAACCGAAAGATGGCAACGACTGATGATGACTACAAGTTCACCGCTGAGGAAGCGTTCTGTTTTCTGCGCGACGTCTTGCAGATAGAATCTGCAGAAACCAAGCTTCAGGCCAACAAGGTCACATTTCTGGATGAGTTCATCAAAGCTATGACACATCACATCCCCTACCAAACTATCAAAGGAATCGCAATACCTGACGGTAGCCGTCGCTTACCAACAGCAGCGGACATCAAGACGGATATCACCTCGAAAGTGGGAGGCCTTTGTTACCAACTTCAGATTTTCTGCTGGATGTTGCTGCGTGCTTTAGAGTTCGACGTTCATCTGGCACCAGGAGATGGGTTTCATAAGAAAAATATCCACGTTGGTGTTGTTCTCATCGGCGTCACCTACCAGGGTTCGAAGCACTTGCTCGAAGTTGGGCTCGGCCATCCGACCTTCCAACTGATCCCGCTAAATTTTGAACACTCTTCACCTGAATATTGTGATTCTTATATGCGATATCGGTTTGTGCATCAGGGAGAGGATACGATCATCTTCCAGTCCAGCGCAGACACCGTTCCATCAGTGGCATGCAAGTTTCCAGAATTCATCAACGACGGGTGGTTTTCCTTCATCTTCTTTCATACTGACCAATCTGTTGGTGTGTCTCATTTCGACTGTGCAATGATGAATATTTTTTATTGTAGATACCGAGGAATATTTCCTTGCCAGCTTGCATTGCGTGGCTTACCCTAACGGTCGCCTGGTATGCATCAAGGATTCAAAACTAAGGCTGGAGGACGAAGCACACCAGATGCAGGTTTCTCACTTCCGGTCAAATAACGAGATTATAGAAGCCTTCGCGCGTTATTTCCCTCAATTTCCCGAAGACATGATCAAAGCTGCTATGGAGAATATTAAATTCAAACTGCCATAGGAAATGGAGGCCACGATCCATCTATTATTGTAGCCTAGCAACGGGTTCGGACCACTTGACCCGTGAGACCGAATATGAAAAAGGTTCCGCGAGACCGAAGGCTCCCGAGACCGCGCGTGTAAATTATGCCGCAAGCCATCTATCTAGTCCGAATTTCGGCTGCGTATGGTTGTCAAAATAAACATCATTAATGTCCCATTCACAATACAATAAATACATTATTATAAAGACCCTAGCGCAAAGAAATTTAACGTGACAACTTTTTTTAGTATGCATCATTGCAGATGTGGAAGTTGTCATTAATTTTGCTGATGTTAAAGGTGCGCTATAAAAAAATGCTCTTGGTGAAAACAGTTTGTTTCATCAGACAATCAATATCTATATGAACTAAGTTTGCTAAAAAAAGGACTCTCTTCATTCTAAAACAATATTGTACAAAATGTAATGGTTTAAACGAAAGGCATATTAATATCATTATTATTATAATATTATATTAGTAATATTATTATTATTATTATTATTATTATCATATCATCATCATCATTATTATTATCACTATTTTTATTGCACAAAAAAATCTATGCTCAAATTATCAAACGAAATTTCTTCACTTTGATTTTGAAAGAATGTAAAAATATGCATATAGCTCGAATAAATCATTATATTGGTCACAATGTCTCACTGAATTATTCCTATTCCTCGTGCAGTTAGAATTAATTTGCATATAATTTTGTATAAGAGGGGATAAAATAAATTGTATTTTCTATACATGCAAGAATGAAAGAATGCACGAATTACAAATCGCAGGCTCAAAATAAATTACTTAGTTTGATTATTACCGTGTGTTGAAGAAGTAGGCCTTAAATTAATTATGTTAACAAAAGCTATAGCAAGAGAGGTAGATTGTAAAAAATAAATACAAATGGGTGCACACTGCACAGAGAGAGAAAGAGAAAGAGAGAGAGAGAGAGAGAGGGAGGGGGGAGAGAGAGAGAGAGAGAAAGAGAGGCAAGCTCGCTATCATATAACGCAGCTAGTAACTTTTTATCTTTTATGCAATGTTATTATCTCAATATTCTTTTTAAACTTCGATACCCAAAGATACTCCTAACTTCAAATATTCATGGTGATAGACCCCGGGGCAGACCAGCCAAGAAATGGCTTGATTGTGTAAAGGCTGATTGTGCTCATAGACGTCTGGGATCCCTCACAGAAGCGACCAGAACGTCACAAGATAGGAAGATCTGGCTTGAGGTCATGAAGCAGAAGCCACCACACATCTCCCAGATGATGCGGAAGGCTTAGGTCAGGTAGGTCAAACTTCAATAAAGACGTTTAAATAAGATTTTTTGGACTTTACATCGAATCAAATACAATTTAAAGCACAATTTAATTAAAGTTCGGTATTTCTCATGCAGAACCTCCAAGTGCTCCTCTCTTAGCTGCAGGGGGAGGGGGGGGGGGGGGGGGACATATGACCGCCGCCTCCTTTTTTTTGTTAATACTATTTAGAAGAAGAACCCCCCACACCTAACCCCCCCCCCAAAAAAAAAAAAAAAAAAAAAAAAAAAGCAAAAAAAAAAAGCCAGTGCCCTGTGATATATTAAACAGGGAGGTGAAAGAAAGAAGTGGAAACTTTTGTAATTTATTCAAACGCATTCGTGAGTTCTAAAACGTAACAATGGGATGTGTAATAAACATTCCACTTGGCTTTGAAGTTCCATGCTCCAAGCCGGCTCCAAGCCGCGCTTCCACTGCGGGGAATTTTGGAGGCCAGAAACCAGTTTCACATTTATTACAAAATATTAAATTACCTGCAAAATTTCAGTGTAAATTATGAACTTGATATGAGGATTGTATTGGGGATAGTGCATCAAACAATTCGTTTTAATTTAGTACTCCCCCTTCCCATGATTTGTGCGCCAGAGTTGGTAAAAGAAAAGTTAGATCCTGACAAAAACTCAATATTTTAGGATAATGCGCTACATAGTGCATGTTTTAATGTTCCGTTGTTAATCCATGCACGTGTTTTCGCATGTTTTTTTGTATTTTTGCAGTTGGAAAAAGGATGAAATTACACAAGTTTGTGTTCGCTTGTTCTACTCACCACAATTTAACAATTATTGATGAGAAATCACTGAAAGGGACAGCGAACAGTTGCTGGGATACCATTTTTCTGATGTAAAATTCTAAATCCTGAAATTCCATGCACTCTTTTATCTCACCACCTGGGGCCCGTTTCACAAAGCGTTTTTTCAATGACAAATGACAAAAATCAGTGACAAATCTGCTGATAGCCAATCAGAAGCAAGGATTTCAGTAGCTTATAATACAAATTGTCATTAATTTTGTGTAATTGTCATTTGTCACTGATGAAATTTTTTGTGAAACCACCCCCAGGTGAACAGTTGCAGATTAGCGCATAACTTTTCGGCGGCTTGGAGCATGGGGTCAAAGGAAAGCGGCTTGATTCCACTCCTTTCTTTCACCTCTCTGGTTTAAAAACACCTGTAGCTTCTAAAGTGAAACAATTCGTTTCTTCTGTTATACATTGCATCAGTATATTCTCATAACACAATGCCTGTATTTGTAAATGAAGAGACTTGGCAAGCTCTACATTGGCTCACGGGACTTTTAGATTCGCACGAAGACAATAGGTCTATGCTACGATCGACGTCCTTTTAATGCACTGCCTTGAATGGACGTCACACGTATCAGTCCACGCAAATCTAAAAGTCCCTATTGGCTACCCATCAAGTCCCGAATCCAGTTTAAAATTCTTCTATTAACCTACCAATGTTTACATCAACTAGCTCCTTTACATCTTACTGAATTGATAACTCCATGCATATAAACCAGAAAGAACGCTACGTTCCAGTTCCAATTAGTCCCTGCTTTGTGTTCCACAAACAATGACAAAATCATACGGGGAAAGGTCCTTTTCATATGCAGCTGCTTTTTTATGGAACAAGTTGCCTGAACATCTAAAAAGCACAGGATCCTATAAAACCTTTATCAATTCTCTGAAAACATATCTCTTTACCGCTTTATAAATAATAAGAATCATGAACTCAATGTATTTTTCTTTTCTTTCCTTAAAGTGCATAGAGACATGCAATTTTGCCTATGTGTTATGCGCTATATAAAAATGTTTGATTATTATTATTATTATTATAATTAGCATGGCAGCCATCTTGGAAAAAAATAGTAAATAGTAATGCCCTGTCTCCTCCTTTTTTTTAAAAGTCCGGACGAGAAACACGTTATTTTTGTTATTTGGCCTAATAACCTCATTCATTAATAGCAGTTGAACCTTAAAGGGCAAGTACATGCACTCCCCCCAAAACTTACTTTTAATAGAAGTAGATAAATCTGACGAACCAATAAAAAAAAAGGTTTGAGCAAAATCGGACAGCTATAGCTATCCGATTTTGCTCAAACTATAGAAAGTTATAAATTTTTAACGACATGACAAAATTTGAAAATCACAAGATATTTATTGACAACTCACTCATGAATCTGTGACGTCATTGCCTCACTATCCACTAATTGCTTTCTTCAAATTATTAATATGAATGTCAAATTTTCCTCCTTAAATTCTTATTTCCTCACACCAGCATCCAAGTTATATTGATAGTAGGCCTAATATGTTTGTGTGTGGATGCACTAAATATAGAGTAATTATTTTTTCAGAAAATCATGAAAAATATGAATTTTTATAAACTATTTAGGACCTATATATAAAAATCGATGATTATGAATTGAATATTCAGAAAATAGTATCAATTCTTCATAAGTTCATAACAAATTTTGTGAAATGACATGCACGCAATATGATACAAATCATATAACCTGGGCAAACGCATGTTGGGGCTATCGGATAAAAAGTGAAATTAATGGGATAAAAATATATAAAGCAATTAATAAAATATTGAGGCAATAAAATCACAAACTTAAACCAATTGGGCAATATGTGTAGTGATTTTCTGAGTTCCGTGCTTTTTCATAATTAAAAAAAAACAAAACATAACTTCCTTATTAGTTATCCGATTTTACTCAATTTTTGTTTGCTCTGTTTCTCTTGTTTTTCTGTATCTATTAAAAGCAAATTATTTTAGGAGTTGACTTAGCTTTTAAATGCCAAAAGGAGGCTTGCGGGATCTCTTCACCTGCGTAGCTAGATTTTAGGGGGGGGGGGGGGGGTCCCTGAAAGCGTGAAGCGCTGAAGCTTTGACGTTTAATTAAGTTATAAGACTGAAGAAGACGATTCGTTGTATTCCGTTCTCTACTATTAATCCTTGTCTGAATTTTCAAAAATGTTTCTTTGTCTGCTCCTTTTTCTTTCTCTACGTCCTCTTCCTTTTCTCTCTCTTCTCTCTCTCTCTCTCTCTCTCTCTCTCTCCCTCTTTTGGCCGGCGTTTTTTTTTTGGGGGGGGGGGGGCGACTGCCCCACCGCCCCCTGGTTACGGGCCTGGATCTCTTTTACTTTTGGAGTCTTCGTCTATCTCTTTACATTGTTCATTTTTATGTAAGTCATATTTTAAATTACATAATTTCAATGAAATACATGTACCAGGGATCGAGTTGGAATTGGACTCCCCGGTAATTAGGCTATTACCAAAGAGGAAAATTCTTGTTTTATAATGAGACTCGATATAATGCATAATCCCTGGAATTTAAGTTGACATTAATTAAAAACAAAGGTTTGGAAATGTTTTTCGAACTCTCCATCCCCTGGCTCCATCCCTGTGAGATATCATTCTGGAAAAATGAGGAGAAATGTTTTCATGTGGTTCGTCTATGGCGAACGTGTAAACCTTTCGAGTCCCTTTTCTTCATTTCACACACAGCATGCAATTTCCGCCTGAGCTGCCCCTCCGAGCGCGCGCTCATCATGCTACGGACGTACGTACGGTACGCATACAGTACGATGAGGACTTTTCAGAGACCTGTAAAACGTGTTCGATAGGTGTTTGGTAGCGTGTTATGATGGAAAGCAGGCCCGTGAAGAAGAGACTAATGCTGGCCAGATATAATGCAGATTTGTATTTTTAAGACATAATAAACATCTTATGGTAATTATATTATTCATTTGAAGCATATTAATGATACTAGTAGATCTGTTTATCGTTTTTCTGAAAGAGAAATGTATGCACGATTATTTGTCACAGTCCCATCTATTTCGATTTATGTTTGTCGTGCATGGTGATGATGGGGATGGACTTTTTTCTTTTTCTTTGGCGGTTTGGGTTAACACTGGTTAAGTCTACCTCCTTCACAGTTGAAGATTCTGATGAGTGTGTGTGTGTGTGTGCTTACAAGAGCCAGGTGAAGGTGCAATGCTATTCGTGAACGGACGTACTCGGACTAGACCTATGACTTCGGAGCAATCTTCTTCATCCTCCGCTCTTTCGGACATCAGCAGCTACCGGCAGTAGGGTGTCTGATCGCACACTCAGTCTTGTGTACTAAAATCCTTGAGTTACATGGTATCACTGTAGACCATTCGATTTTTAACAGCTAGTCGGGGCCAATGGTGAGATCAGCAAACCGGTGGAGTGATGAATTAAGCGTAAGGAATTAGAAGCCATACGATGCGCGTCTTTGCTTTGCACCATCATCCGATCTGCAAGGCTCTCCCGGTATTCTACAAGATCAGTTTGGTTGACGCCTGATGGTAGGTAGCAGTTTATGGCCAGGATGCACTGTTTTGACTGTTGAAGGTGTATTCGAAGCCGAACTATGTTGATCCTGATAATAGAGTGGCGGGGATTTCACTGTAGCTGGCAACCAGTGTTTGACGGAGTAGTGTTGCTACCCCTCCTTTTCCTCGTCCTGCTCCTGCTCGTATGGCATTGGTATAGCTGATGCAATCTGCTGCTTTAGCTGTTACTAAGTGTTGGCTGCTATTGTTATTCAGCAACTGTAGTCTGTTTGTATTAAGCCAGTGTTCTTGAATAAAGAGGATATCAGTCTTGCTTGCTGGCAACTTGATGGGCATATCTCAGGTTGGACTGTATTCCGCGTACACTCAGTGTCCCTTATGAAATATTTGTTGTTTTTATGCGGTTGTTAGTAGGATGAGGCTTGATTGAACAAGGTCTATGATGTAGTGGTGGTTGGTTGCTACCATTCTGTTTTATGGTGCGATTGCTCTTTGCTTCTGTTGCTGAAAAGAGCTGGAGTGTGTACATGAGTGAGTAATATGCTGAACCGAGAAGGGCTATGTGAGCAGTTGTTGAGACTCGGCCTGCATGAAAACCTGGCACGGGAGTCTGAGTTTTAGTTTGAAGTTATCTTGTTATCATCATCAAATATCAGCAAAAGTAGCAAGGGCAAGATCTTCTTTGCAAAAATCCACTTTATTTTTTGTATCTAGTAAATTAAAGACAAAGTTGATATAATTGAAATGGGCAAACTACATGTAGTAGACTCCACATTGAAAAAGAGCCTCCAAGATGCAAGAATTAAGAATTGGTAAGAATAACTCCATTATGAGTATGATGAGACATTTTGCTCCAGACGGCTCAATTTCTTTGTCGCTGGATTACGTTCAAAATTAGAAAAGGGGTGTATCGCGCGCTAATGCAGTAATGAGCAAACCCAAATTTGAAAATATGAAATCACAGCGCTACGGACTTGATTCTTGAATATTATACTTGAAATGTTCTTAATCTTATCTTCTCCCATAATTCCACTCTTTGCAGTGGTAGACTAATCATCCGTGATCATGGAGATGGATAGCGCAGACCTTATGAGCAGTCTTCAACTGCACAATGACTTCTTCAAGAGTATGACTGATCTGATACCTGCTAGGTATTACTTTGAGCAAGAAACCAAGCAAGGCCCGGCAGGCACCGGCAAGTTCCACCACAATGCAAAAGGTGAGTACACAAATAATTCAAGCCTGTCTGCACTAGTTTGGCCAGGGGGGGTTAGACCTCCCTGCAAGGTCACTGACAGGTGGTTATCTCATCGAATCAGCTCTCGATTAACGTAGAAAAGGCATTGTTTGCTATATAGAGGGCGCAAGTAGCTATAAGTAGTGCAGTGGGGCTTTAATGTTTGTGAGTGTAAGCGAAGATGCACTACACAAGTCACAATTGGATAATAAACAAGACTTTTTGGGTTAAATACAGGTGACTGGTTGAGTGCAGCGCTATCAAAGTTTTTCCTTCATTATTCCATCTGCCTATCTTTTCTCTTAAACATGATTGGGAAAGATAATAAAATAAAACTGTTCTTGCCCATGCAGTTAGGCATACAATACTGGAAGGTTTTCTGAATGAAATGAACACCTTTCAGATTTTTGAAATGAACTTGCCGTATTGTGATTCTTTTTCATATTAGACTACACACCATACATTATAGTCCATCCTTTGAAATATAGCTTTTCAAGTTACAGCCCCAGGAGAACGCTCTATGAAGTTGGACCACATTAAAACCTGTATATTATATTCCTGCAGAGAAAGCTCCCAAACAGCAACTCAAGGACAAGTCTAAAAAGAAGACCAGCAACAAACGACAGCGCTTGGACCCCGACAAGCAGCGCAGTGTGACCCAGATCCAGGAGGGGATGGACAAAGGTCAAATCTCGGGGAAAGACGGGGTGGCGACCTCTAGCCGGTTGTGGAGAGAGAAGTCGGAGGACGAGTCCGAGAGCGACGCCGTGGGAACGGGACTAGAAGACCTTTCTGATGACAGTGGTACGAATGCGATAAATTTGTTAGCAAATGTATACCTTGTATTTCCTCTGAGACATGCTTTTAACCCATTCACTCCTGAAGTGTTCCATTCCCATAGGCTTTTATACAGGAACCTGGGAGGTGTTTTCCTAAAGCTGTGCGTAAAGTTACGAATGACTTTACAAATGATTTGAATATGAAGAGCCAAATGGGATGTCCAAAGTTTTTCCTGACATTTTAAACAAAGTGTTGACTGTATTTCCCATAATCTCAATTAAATTGTAGCCAAAAATACACTTTGCATTAAAATGCTTTGTTAATAAGGATAAGGTTAATCTTCATCCGCATATTTCAACTTTAGCTTATGCAATTAAAAGGAGTTGAGAATCCCATTTAGCTCTTCATATTCAAGTCATTTGTAAAGTCATGGGTAACTTTATGCTCAGTTTTATAAAACATCCCCCCGGTGGCTCCTGTTGTCGGTGGTTTAAATTTTCTGGAGAAGGTAAAACAGAAAGTTTACCAAATGTTAACACTCAAGTTACACACGAGATCTGCCTCTGAGCATTATCTATAACGTTATGAAGTGATACTTGTTACTATTACACGTTGATAATAAATTGTATCTCAAAACCATGGTAAATATTCACTGTTTATCCCTGTGTATGTGAACAAGCCCTAAACATTCCAATAAAATAATCTGGGACATGTTCTTAATGCAAGGGGATGTTACATGTAATATCATTATGCCTTGTATTGGGGTGTTGAAAAGTTAAAGTCAGGGGGTGCGATGGCTCAGTGGTAGAGCAGTGGTCTCGTAACTGGGAGGTCCCATGTTAGAAACCAAGTTGATGCGCTAGTGCCCTTTGGTATTGATCCTCATTACCAAGACCCTCAGAGAGGAATTAAAGCCATTGGTTCCCTGGTTGCTTTCTTACATGCATATACATACTTTATTACATGTAGCAGTCAGGAAAAAGAAAAGAAAAAGTGTATTGTACTTAATGTTGTAGCTCATAAATGCAATTTTGGAAGATCTGTCTAGAAAAATAAGGTTATAACTTTGAGGGAAAGGTAAATATGCCGTTGATCAGAAATATAATATGATAAATAATGTATATTAATGTTTATGCTTTATATTAGGTGCTGAAGATGACTCAAAATCACCAGCTGTCTCGTCGCGGATAAAACCCATGAGTGTTGAATCTGTTTCAAGTGGTGCCACTATCGATGAACTCAGAGAAAAGGTTCAAAAGAGAATCGAAGAACTTCGAACAAAACGAAAAGCCAGGGCTCCATTGATGGAGGATATGGTACCTAAGAAAATTGCTCGGAAAGAAGCGGAAAAGGAGAAGAAGAAGAAAGCAGAAGCTTATAAAGCAATTAAAGCTTCTAAAGCACAGTTAGAAGTTTCAGAGAAAGCCAAACAGAAACAGATGGTTAATGGAGACATTCACAATGACAGTAATGATTCTGGCGATGACGGTACCACCCCTCAAAGAACTAAAAAGAGCGACAAGAAATCCGCCAAGGGTGGAAAAGGGGGGCAGAAAGTGGCCGGCGGGGACGACGAGGCGGCCGTGCGGTTCAGTCAGTTTGACTTTGCGGAGAGCGAGCGGGAGCAGCCGAAGAAGAAGAAGAGGAAGAAGTTGACGGAGCCGAGGAGTAACAAGGACTTTGGTCGGCTCCTGAAGAAGGCGGAGCTGAAGGAGCAGAAGATGGCGGAGATGAAGGAGAAGGATCCAGACAAAGCCCAGGAGGTGGAGACGGAGGGCAAGTGGCAGACGGTCATCGATAAAGCTCAGGGAATCAAGGTCGGTGCTTATTAATAATAATAATAATAATAATAATAATAATAGGCATGAATTTAGCGCCGTCTATCAAGACAATTCTATTCCGATGCGCACAAGAAAAATAGAAAGATTAAGAGAGTTTGGATGAGTGTCATATAGTGCCAGGTACAGGCATTGTTAAAAAAGATGAGATTTCAGCTTGGATTTAAAGGTCTCTCAATGGTAAATTATTCCAAAGTGAAGGTGCTGCAGCTGTAAAAGCTCTTTTACCACAGGCTACTCTCGTCTTGGGGATCTTAAGAAGATGCTGATGTGATGATCTTAGACTACGAGCTGGTGTATAAGGCATAACAAGGTCTTGGATTCATGTGTAGACAAAACTTGATACTTTGTCTTCTTCAAGCTCTAGAAGGGCTTGCAATGCAATCATCATAAATGGCTTGTTTAATGCTGTAAACGCTGTTATTTTTGAGTGATTCATTTTTTTTGAGCGAGCCCGAAACAAATTTGCGTTGCACTCAATTCAGCCCATTCAAAACGTGCATAAGAAGTCATGTTTATATTGTGGCAAGTTAACAAAGTTTTGCTTTCTGATCTTATCGCGAAATCCGCGCAAAATTTATTGTACCGTGAATGTTTCAGCATTTACAGTATTCCATACAGCTTGTTATTTCATATAGTACATACCTCGTTTATACTTGCAGTTGTAATTAGTTCGGTGATCTAATCTAGTGTTTATATAACTTTTATGTATAGCATTTTGAGAACCCGAAAACCAAACTGTTGTGGAGTACCTCAAAGGCTCATATCAGTTAATAAACTTAATATATCATATCCAGGTCTTGTGCAGGTTTAGGGACATGTCTGACATTCTCTGGAAATGTCCTTCTGTAACACTTTGAATTGACTAGAGCTCTGTCTTATAAAGAGTCAATATTAATCGCAACTATGTTCATAAGAGATAGGCGACCGCAAACTTACGATTGATTGGAGGACTTCAATTGCAACTCTTTATAAGACGAGGCCCAGATATAAAACAACACTATTAAAGGGATCCGGTAAGTTTGTCTCAGATTCTGAAACAAATAGCTCATGCTGCAATGATAATTATAAACCTTTAGGTCAGTCAGTAACCCCATGACTTTTACAAGCTGATCGCCTGTCTGATTATCAAGATATCTATGATTGGAATTAAAAAATTTAGAATTTGTTTTCTTAACGTTTTTTTTAACACTACAGTCTATTGGGGAAAATGTGTATGGTAAAACCGGTCACTCAAAGGTTTTTACTTTTTTGAGGCACTTGTTGATAATTTTGAAGTGCAATTTGTTTAGGGCTTTAATATTACATATCACAGATACTGATTACACGTAGGGATACTGATTACACGTAGGGCCATGCATCTCAGATTTAACATTGTTAAACGATGCCTTTAAATTAGGATTGCTCTGTCTGTCCCCCCTACAGGTCAAGGACGATGTGGAGCTCTTGAAGAAGTCGATCAAGCGGAAGGAGCAGCGCAAGAAGGCGAGCAAGAAGCAGTGGGACGAGCGCAAGGCCAAGCTGGAGGAGAAGATGAAGCACAAGGACGCCAAGAAGAGGACCAACATCAAGGCCAAGACGGACGGCCGCAAGGCCAAGAAGGTCAAGCGGTTACAGCAGAAGGGCAAGCTCCTCCTGCAAGACTGAGGATGAGACGGAGAAGTGCCTCTCAGAGTCGGAGGGACGGACACCAGGGGGCGTTTCACAAAACTTGCTTGCTCTAGTGAACATAGGACATGCAAAAGGGTATTATTGAACAATCCTGGTGTCTGAACACACCCTCAATGTCTAATTAGACTGATACCTTCCACATGAGTTCCCCAGAAAGTCACGTTGAGCTTTGCCCAAAAACTTGATCCACTACGGTAGTCCTTGAGTGTCTGTCCAGAATATCAAAACAATTTCATATGAACCCCAGAGGGGCAAAGTTGGCACATACATAAAATTCCAATTTCGAGGAAAACATGTTTAAAGTATTGTTAGAGAGAAATCTGCAAGACAACGGTCAATTAATGGCACAAGAGTACATTCCTAATAATGTTAATGAAATCAGATGATGCACTGACCCGATATATATTAGTACAGTAAATCTGTATACAAAGACCACCTGTCTACAAAGACCACATTTTTTGTTTCCCTTGAAAATGTTTTCTCATTGGATCATGTACTATGGGAACCTGTACATAAAGACCACCTGCCTATAAGGACCACTTTTCTTGTCTCCCTTGGGTAGTCTTTATAGACAGGTTTCACGGTATAATTATGTGCATCACATTTTTCGACCAGAGGCTTGTATATAGACGGTACAGGGAAATGGCTGGAGAATGTTGGATTCACTAGATATTATTCGGAAGGAGATGCTGGGAAGTTTGGGAATACACAACTGTGATGAGTAATGGAAGGGGGACAAACCCCCACAAAATCTTTCTTTTAAAGGTTATGATTGTAACACACGACAATTCACGATCTATTTTCTTAGTTTTATTTAATGTATCTTAGTTTCAATTAATAATCAGTATTACATATGGTCAATTTCAAGCATTACATAATGACATTTTCAGAAGGGGAGCGGTATGTTTGCGCACCCAAAATTTCACTTGAAATTTTGACAAGAATTTTCTCTTGTATTCTCCTAATGCCTGATCTCATCTCGTTCCTTACACTCTGGAGAGTTAGCGTGCCGAAAATGTAAAAAAAGTTAAGTGATAACAGTGGAACAGTGTCATTTTCAAAAGAAAAGGCGTCATTTTGAAATTGCAAAAACAAGGATTCTCATGTCTGCGCACTCGCGTTCAATAAAACAAAATATAGGAACCGACAATATTCTGGATTTCCCTCATGCCATTATATTTCAATCTCTGCCTGTGGCCTAGGTGAAACATAACATTGCTCGGGAAATTCTAGATCATTTGTCGGTTCCTATTATTTTATAATATAGAACGTCAGAGCATGCAGTATTTGTATAAAATTGCACTCACTCTATTAAGCATATTGGATGAGTTGGAAGATTTGCATTGTATCGTCAAAGAAAACATGACAAGGCTACATGTATATATGTGTCACACAGAAGAGAATCAATTTAAATCGAGTAAAGAAATTTCATGAATCTTATTTTTCTCTCTATTTCTCTCCTATTTCAATGTCTTGCAGTTAATTTTCAAATCTATTTGCAAGGGGTGGCGGGATGTTATACTTTACTTAAAGACTAAGTTAAGTTCTGGGCATGCTATGAGGTTTCGGAATCATCAAAATAACAAGAAATTGATTCAGTCTTGCTACGCGTCACATGCACAGTACACAGAAATGTGTATATGGGACTACACAAACATGTGGCATGAAAGTTGTGGTCCTTGATCTTTAGCTGTTACTTGTCATATTTTGAGTATGAGGGCATTTGAAAAGCCATCGTTTTTAGTGGACATCTTTTCTATGATACTCTTTCACATAATCTTTAAAAAGAAAAACACACATTATTTTCACCTTTTCCAGAACTCGACCTTCTCTTCAAAGTAAGGCATGGCAAAGTGCTTATCTTCTAAATGTTGTGCATACTCTACTTGAATTTAGACGTACAAGTAAAACTACATGTATTTCATACACTTTGATATTGCCTGTACATCCAGGTAACTTTATTATAAAGCACAAGTTACATCAATAATTCTGATGAAAACAATGTTTCCCATCCCAGCTTTCAAAGTTGATGTACAGTTTATCGTAGGCCCTCAAAAACTCATCAGATTTCTTAGATTTTAGATGATGAATAGGAAGGTATTAGCAATTCAAAGCTGCTGTGAATTTTTTCTCTCAAGTAAAATAGTTTTAAAAAATGATTTCGATACCATCCTGGGAAGTAAATTCTAATGACGGCAACCCACACTACACATATGTGTGAATCCTATGAAGACTGTTCTTATTTGTTACAGTCTAAATCCAAGACCCAATGGAGCATAAAGAGTGTATATACCCATTAATATCTAGCATTCCTTGCTGATATTAACTACTTCAATTCACCAGAAATCATGAATAGAATACCATTCGATCTTGTATACCGGTATATTACATGTATAACTTTCGATACAAGGAGAACATCCTGTGGCTATTTAACACGTTTCTTTCCCCCATTTCATTTTGCTACAAAACTTGTCTTGTTGTGAACAGTTTGATCGCACACGAGTACAAAATGACAGTTTGTATAGATCCAGGCATGCCAATTTTTTTTAATGTATGTCAACAGTATTTTTCTCCTTTTAGTGAATTGAATTTCTTGTCAATATTCTGAATTTAAAGCAAATTTTAATTTTCCATGTACAGTATGTTGTCAAGATCACCGATCATGCTTCTGATTATTTCTGTATGATTTATGCGAATGAAATCGGTGAGATCAGCGTGAAAAGGAAATTGAGCAAAAATGAAAAATATTGTGCCAAGAGTTGAACATTTTAATTTGTAATAAAAATTCTTGTACTCAACTGAACATGACAGCTTCCCTTTTTATATTCTGAATGTACAGTCAACAACTGAATTATTCATACCCCTTCCAATTTTTGTAAGTTTTTGAAAACTGATTTGCCCGGATTTATGTTTCTTGAGAATGTGACGTATCAAAGCTTACATCTTTAAAGTGTTAAACAAAGGCCTTTATTCAACCAGTACCCTTCGTTCTTGAGTTACGAAATTTGTTTACCCCCCCCCCCCCCTCAAAAATTTTTTTTACAAGGTATATGAATAATTTGGCTGTTGACTGTATGCGAGTTTTTGTTCCTTCTCTATCTCTTCCCCCTCCTCTTTACTTCCTTTCTCCCTCTACATGTGACCAAATAATGACCCTTCCCCCTTGCAGCACCAAATGACCCGTTTTGAATCGACAATCAAATCTCAATTCTTCTCTTTGTTCCTTTCAAATAGTGCACCTCTTATATCTATCATGCTCTCTCCATCTTTTTCTTTAATACATTGTCGTAGTAGTGATATGAAAGAAAGAAATCACATTCACTCAACCACTTCCAACATACATTTTGAAATAACATGATAGACGCAATTAACTGGCTATTAAATTTTATTTGGATAACACACACACTGACATTTCTAATTCATGATATGAATGATAAACACACTAGTATACGGATGTCTCGCATCATAATTGTAAACAAAATGCAAATTATTATAAACCATGTATAAGGGCAGGGTTCAAGAGAGTAAATTATAAATATAAATGAAGTTTCAGATCCATAAGGCCTCGCTCAGCTATGACGTTGGCAAAACCACTGATTTTCTTTTTTTAAGATGACGAAAAGTGCAATACACATTGCATGTCTGTATCCTATAACACAGAGCTCAGTGAATATGCGCATGATCTTTGTTGCGCACAGTTGCAATTCGTTTACATGTTAAAAAAACTAGTGTTTTTTTGTGTTGTTTTGGCATCATACCTGAACAGGCCTTAACAGGTACTTTGTAAATCATATTTCCCTAGTTAAAATGATAACTGGAAGGACATAAAGGGTTTTATGAAGAACTAATATGAACCTTTCACGTATTAAAATTAAAATTTCAAATTTAAAGCAATTCATTTGTCTTCCTGGCCCTTGAGACAAAGTGAATGAAGAAAATAAATACATTAAAAAATACAAATTGAAAAAAAGTTGAAAATAAAATTGTCAACTCTTAGTATAAGGGAACAAAATCCTTAATACGGTAATTGTAAACAATGTTTGGGTAAGATATTGAGACCTACATGTAGGGCTTAAACTCATAATTTATATAATATTGACAGGCAACTACATTGTAGTCTCTGCAAAAAGTCTCTGCAAATAGCCTCTACCTTCACTGGAAAAGGCAAATGGACAAAGAATTTTAATATTTCTATAAGCACTTTCATGGTCTTCAAAATAAGGGAAAGTATAAAAACATCTGAAAAATAAAAATTGCTTTTCAAGGGGTTTGAAGTGCACCTGTCACCTAAACGGGTTTTCCTCTTTGTGTATTTAATAAGCGATTCCATGTCAATAACGGTATATTGTATCCAGAATATGAGCTTCAAATTATTACTCGACCAAAGAGATACTACAGTTTAAATGTACTGTAGGTAAATAGCAAAATGACTCGTTATGGAGACTAGTTTGACGCATGCGTACACGCTTGTATAGAATAGGGTACGTACAGAACCCAAGTTGAGAGTTGGAGTTAAAGCGCTTGGAGACATCGTCCATTAATTAAAGCGCTATATAAACCCAGATTAGTATAATTATTAATATCTGTAGACTAAGACTTCTCTTATTAAATGCTTTTTACAAAAAAGAAATGATGGCTGTGTGCACTTCTTTCTGTTCATTACATAATTTTCACCTACTGGTATAGCATAAGTATTAAAAAGTTCAGGGAGTTATCAAAGCTCATAGAGCATTGCACTCCATCTTTCACGTTATAATAGCATAGCAAAAAAATGTTGCATTTATTTGAAGAAACAGAAAAAAAAAAAGCATTTAATTAATCTCTAGAATAATCAAGGTTTATGATTTTAAATGTAAGTTTTAATTTCTATGAATGATTAGTAGATATATTTGGGATTTTAACTTAAACTTACTTTTCTTAATCCAGAACACAAGGTGAAGAAATTAATACAAATATATATCATTTTCAATAATGTATTTGTTGTTTAAAAAATAAATGCATTTGTAACGAGAATACGAAATCGTGTACTACTAGTATACTGCCATCAGATATATAGATGAAAATACACTACTAAATATTTGAATAAGATTGCTACAATGCTAATAAGTCAGTCTACACAGATTGATAAAGTATCAATTATAGAATAAACATTGTGCAATTTGTTGGTATAGCCTACAGGACACACACTTAATGAGAAAAATGATGATACATGCATTACAGAAATTACATCAATATACCTACACCTTGATCACTATTTGTAGCGGCACAGCCAATATGTACACAGCATGCATATGATACGCATTAATGTGAAATGAAACCTTCTTTGTATCATAAAACATTAGCTATCACTATTATTTGAGAATTATATCAACAACATATTAAATGCCTAGTCATCTACACAAACATGTTTACACCACATTTACACAACTTAAACATAGAGACACGATTGATTTCAATTTCACACAGTAAAACCTACCACCAAACCACTACACTATAAATAAAATGTTAAAAATAACTCCATCCCTTCTATGTGTCACACGACACAATGAAAAGTTACCGATATATATAAAGGCACCCACAAACGAATTAAATGGTCATAGTTTTTTAAATCTGACTTGTAAAGTGTACACATAAATGTTTTATCAAAACATAGCGACCCAACATGGCTCTTTTAATAATAATTTCCCTCTCCTTCTTTTCCTGTTACGAACTGCTTCAAGTTCAATTTTTTCTTAAAGAGGAGAGCAGCTGCTAGAAAACAGAAAATATCAACTCCCAATGGTTTCCTCTCACCGAGGAAACCTTAAAAATTCTCTCATAACATATGACAGAATATTTCAACAAACTTTTTTCGACCATCATCTGAAGTTTACTTTGTGAACTTGCTTCAGTCTAAAATTAAGTTTTCTTTTCATTAGCACATGGACATCTTACACAATACAGGCAGAACTTTGTTCCTTTTCACTTTTTCTGTACTTTTTTAAACAGTCAGAAAGGGGGGGGGGGGGGGTAACAGACCAGGGCATTGTTTTTAACGAAATTATCATACATACAAGTTCACAGATATACTATTGGAACGCATGTTAAATTAACACATGCTTTTCAATAAGTCGAGGGTGAACTCGTACAAATACTCATGGTTTTGTGAACTGCTGCCCAGTTTTTGCTCCAAAGATTAACAAATTGACTACTTTCCGATGTCACGGATAGACAAGTTTTTAAAAAAAATGTGATTTTCACATGAATGACAGGATATGACAATCCTTTAATATAAAGAACAGTACTGTTAATATTATGTCTATAATTCATGACCTCCTTTAATCTGATTTAAAAAAAAAGAATGGGGAGGGATAATACACCTAGAGTAATAAAGGTGCATTTAGACCGATAAAAATGAAACGGTTACAAGTAAGTAACGCTATAAGGGCAGAATAAATATCTAAATAAACCTCACATAAGGGGCATCCTTCAAATGCAGACTATGCCCATAATACCTGCTTATGCCTGTGTCTTGTACACGTGCCCTGCTTTAATCTGATAAATAAAATGGGGGGTGGGGGGGCAATACTCCTAGAGCAATAAGGTGCATTTAGACTGATAACATGATAAGGTTACATTAAACCCTAAACGCTAAAGGCTAATAAATATCTAAAGAACCGCAGAAATGGGCATCCTTTACGTGATGACTCTACACAATACATGTATATTTATACAACGTCCCATCTAGAAGAAATAGAGAAGAATTTAAAATAATGTATCGTTACATTTCAAATTACGATGAGATATGATTTACTGAATGACATGCAATGGTTGAATGCATGTACATGTCACAAAAACACGACCTGCTTAATTGATTGTTGAACTCCTGCACTTTGTGTAGCTTTCTGAAAAATCGAAGGCGACAATAAGGAAAATAATGTTCCAAGATGATACCAAGTCATGAATCATATAGAGTACATGTACTACGGTGCATAACTTCAGAAATTTATTTAAAGAAACTAAATTTCAGGGGATAGAGAATGAGAAAAAACCCGGTAACACACAAAATAAATGTTTGTTATTAACAGTTACTTACAGCGGTAAAAGAACCAATCCAGATATTGTCGGATATGTCCGAAATACTCAAAGTCAAAACAAAGTACATGTAGACATGGACAAAAAAAATATTTTCAAACTTGACTGACCTTTATGATTTTATGTCATTCCCTAAAACAACTATTCGTACAGCTGTCGATTGATACCAGCTGCTTTTGTAACACTTTGGTTGCTTTCCTCGCCTTTCTGCAAGGTCGCTCCATAGCCACACATGCAATCTTGCACAAGCAATAGTCATTCCATGACTGATGTTGAATTTTTAAGAGAGCGCTAACAACTCACCTTTTTTATGAATGTTTCCAGTAATTATGTAAACATTGTACATTGTAAAGTGCTTTGAGAGGGCCTGCGGTCCTGAAATGCACTATAAAACAATGAACTATTATTATTATTATTATCTGACGTCTGTGAAAGTTTTAAGGTACATGTACATGTAGCCATCCAAACGTCAGTGGATGTGCAACGACATGTCCAATTTCCACAAATTACATATCTTAACCCACAAAAGAATCGATGGAGGTTGAAGCTTTCTTACACAGTAAATTTGCCTGGCACCTATGAAATATTGTTCCTCCACTCACTCCCAAATGTGATTTTGAGATAAAGCTATCATGGAGCTGTATTGGTAAAAATTAAAATTAAAATTAAAAACACCAGGAGTTGAGAATTGTTCAGCAAAACTAGTGTCAATGTGAAGACTTGATGTTGTGTTGATCTTGTGTTTTCCTTGAGTGGGGAAGCTATGCGAGTCATTTGGATTCTAAAACAAATGCAAATGATTTCTTGAACTTCAAGATGTCAGATTATGCTAAAATGAAGACCCCCTAAAATTTAAGAGGATCCATTCCTATTTTTGTACCTCTCACCCGACATTAAATTCAATGGAACTAAACATGATTTGAAGTACCAGTAAGGAATTGAACATGATTTGAGTAAAGATGGTATTAAGGATAGTATTAAACATTAATACTGCTTAATTTTCAGATGTCTAAAATCGTATTAATGGAAAAAAGCAACAAAGAGGTGTCTTTGATTGCAGAAGTGACCTTAGCCATTTACAAAATGACATAATTTTGGCATCACGCACTGCCCTCTCTTCTCCCTCGCCTCCTTGCTTATTGTATATGGAAATATTTTCGCCTAACGATAATTTCGCTGATCTATTGTTCAGGAACAAATTTGAGTCTCATTATTTCACATAAAGCCGCAGCCATAACCAATGTTATACTTTTTAATGATGATCATTCTATTTCCGTGGATCATCAACTCATTACTGCGTGTCACAAATCGTCATTACATAAGAATTATTTTGGGAGAAATAAATGAAAATAATCCATTGAAGTGATCTCTTATGATCCTTGTAGTCTTAAACTTCGCTGGATGACCCTGTGATGGCTATAGTGTATAGTCCATAGTCTATAGATGCCGTACGCTACAAGTGAAGGGGCTTTCTTCAGCTATTTCGACATGCAACATAATACTTGCTGGAAATATTCACGTGTTGTTAAATTCGCCATCAATGAGCAATTTGTGAAATTCATGAAAATAAACCCCCTGCGAAAATAGCTGCTTATGCAGTATAATTATATGTAACTAACATTTGGGTTGGTACATGTAGATAACTATATCTCATTAGCCTGGAGTGAACAATATTTTTCATATCCACACATATCCTTTTCTCCCTCCCATACAATCCTCCAAATATATACGATTGTCAAAAAGCATACAAACAGTGAAATACAGAAGATATATTTGACAATATCATTTTGAAGTTCACTGGTATAGACTGTTAACACTATCAGATAAATGTAAATAATCTTAGCAATATCTAACTCTAAAAAGCAACCAGGAAAGATTATGCACTACAAAATCTTCTTCCTTACATTACATGTATACCATATGTGTACATAATTAAGGAACATCACAAATTAACATATTGAATCACTTAATATTATATCAGTTCTGCATCATGCTGTATAATAAAAGTGACAAAACTGACAGCATTACAGTAGCTGTCTTATAACGCTACTACAGCAACAGCTACAACTTCCTCCATCTCTGCTGCACTTTCTTAGGTAGTGGGGGGGGGGGGGGGGGTAACGTTGCCCTCCTCCAGCATCTAAGCTCCACCACTAGGGGTAATTATTGTACATGGCCTCCCTCATGGCAAGCTCCCTGGCGATCTTCCTGTCCCGCTCCTCCTGGGTCCGCTTCTGCTGCTCCATACGGTCCATCTGGTCGTGCCTCCTCTGGACATCCTCCAGGTGCCTCAGGTACTCCTCACGCTCCTTGTCCTGCACCTGTTTGGCATACTGGAGGTCTGCTGCCTCCTGCAAGTCAAACGTGGACCAAAAAAGGAAAAGAACATTTATTGGCCGACCTATGAAGTGGTAAGACAATCATACTGTAAGTACGCATCAACATTATTTATCACAATTATGCTTTGATCAGATAAGAAGCGGCGAAACTGTGTCGTTTTACTTTGTGGTGGTGGTGATTATTTTACCTGACTGCTAAGAAAGCATAAATGCTTGTAAGTAAGCAACAGACGGCCGACGGTCCTCTCCGAGGGACCTGGTAATGAGGATTGATGCCTTACCAAAGGGCACTAGCGCATCGACTTGGTTTCAAACCCGGGTCACCGGATTACGAGACCACTGCTCTACCAACTGAGCTATCGCGCCTCCTCAAGAGAAGACTTAAGGTGTTATACAATTCACATTTCCTTTCTTGTAACAGAGAGCTCAGTGAATATACGTAGAACCTTTGTTGTGCACAAGTGCCATTCATTTATACCTTTAACCCTTGTTTTAGGGCAGCGGTTGACTGAATCATATCTAAATGGGCCTTTAGTGTGGGTGAACTGAAAAGCAGTATTTCTCTTCCTGAAGTCCCTGCACTTGGTATGACCAACCAATATGTTTACAAACTCACCAGAACCTTGAACAAAATTATATCTTTTTAAGGGAGGGGGGGGGGGGGCAGATTTTAAACAGCATTGATTCATGTCACATTATCACCAATTAACTTTTATCAAATCAAGGGGTCAGTGACACAAAGACGTATAACTCTATTTTGGCCATTTTGAGCAAAGGTGGTTTATGTGTCACTGAGCAATGGGGCCTTAAGGAGTTAAGTCTATGTTTCACTAGTCACTGACTTCAATGGGGTGTTGGGTAGAGTTAAGTCTTTGTGTTTCCTGAAAAGCCCACATTTTTCTGAACATTTTGATATCAAATACTCATTTTGGCAAATATGGAGTTACGTCTTTGTGTCACTGACCCCTGAAAGTCATATGATGCACTTACTGTCATATGAAGAACAAAAATAAATAAATTCAGACTTACCATCTGGCGTTTGGAGGCATGTATCCCTTGGCGTTCTACTTGTACATGGCTAGCGGGTCCAGGAGGAGGGGGGCCATACCTGGTCTGTCTGCTGCCTGCAGGGACCAGGCGAGGGTAAGGAGTCTTGGGGCTGGTGTACCCATCCATATGGGGGTGGGGTTCAACGTACTGGTAACCTGGGGCGTGGCCTGGACTGCCCCCGCGCTGCGGCATCCAATGAGAGTCCCTGGGGTCCCTGGGGTCCCTGGGGTGAGGGTCAGGCTGGCGGACGTGGTGAGGATCGGGCTGGCGGGCGTAGCGGGAGAGCCCAGACTCCTGCATCTGAACAGCCCTGCTTTCAGGCTGTTGGACTGAAACATTCTGCTAGAAGTGAAGAAAAAAAGGATTGTGATACAGTCAAACCTGCTTTAGTGACCACCTGTCTACAACAAGCACATTTTTTGTTTCCCTTGAAAATGGTTTCCCATTGAAACATGTACTATTAAAAGGAACCTGTCTACAAAGACCACGTGTCTACAAAGATCACTTTTTGTGTTTCCTTTGCGCGGTCGATGTAGACAGGTTTGACTGTACAATGCTTTGACAATTTGCAATTTATAATCAAAACATTTCTATGGTGAATTTATCATCTTGTTCATTGAATTCAATTACAATCAGGCATCTGCTGATTTTCCACTCCACTCCATTGCATTTAAGCCATTCTCCATTTGATAACAACATGTAGAAACATTCCTATTCTAAATGATGTCTGCCCGCAAATGGATACCTATTTATTCATCTGGGCTTGGTAGAGAAAAGCAATGAAAATACATGCTTTCTTTGAGGATATAAATAATTTACTGGCTTTGAACCTCTGATCTTCAAATATTCAGAGTCAAGCGCCCAAAGGAGTGATGTTTGTATCATAATATAAATACCTGATTATTTTACGAAACAGATAATATCAGTCTAGAGCTGCATGTAATGTTGTTTTTAATAAACCAATTCAATTCATTTCAATTCAATTCAATATTGGAATGGTAATTTACCTGAGGAGGTTTGACCTGGTGTGTTACATGGTTACCGCCGTGACTACAGTCGCCATGACTACAGTCGACGACAGGCCGGTGGTCTTTCTCACAGTTCATGTTCTCCAGTATCTTCTCTTCAAAGTCTATTATAAACGTGTTGTGGGCATGCTGAAAAGAACAGAAACATTTATGTTGAGACCAGTTCGTAGATAGCGTACAAACATCCCAAAATATCTGGAATAAAAACATTGCCCAAGTTCCAAGGTTTACAAATTTGTAAACCTTCCCCCCGCTATCCAAGGTTTGCAAATTTGTTTTGGACCTACCTTTGCAGTCTCCTTGGCCTGGATCCTGGTCCTAACCTGGCTCAGGGCTTGTTTCAGTTTCTCCTGTGCTTGTGGATCACACTCAACAAGCTTCTCTACAGTGGTCTCCCAGTCACTGTCAAAACACACAAAACAAAAATCTTGGTCAGATATGAGTTTCTTTTTAACCCTTTTGAGACAATCATTCCACATTTTGTGGTTTGGCTCAATAACTTAATAACTTAAAGGGATAGTTGAGTTCTGTTGCAGAGGCCAGAGGGTGCTACACAAAATAATTTTTTGTGAGATAATGAAAAACCCGAGTGTTAAATTTGAAAGAACATACAATTTAAATAACAAAATCATCTTTGTTTGATCGAAATATGAAATATCCATAAATATAACGATTTCTAATATTTGTGTACACCACAAGTATTCGATAATTTGAAAATAGCGCCTTTTACGTTGTATTTCAGCCAATGCCGATGTTGGCTTTTTCGTGTTGGTTATATTAAGCCCAACCAGCTGGCCCATGTATTGATATTATTAATTAATTAATTAATTCACAATCATCATATTTTTGGGAAAGTGGATGATCGTATTGGGTAAATTTCAAACATTTTGGGGGTCTAAAATTACCTACATAGCAATTTTAGGTCCTCGAAGGTCACTAGAAATGTCATAGATAAGAATAAGAGCAATAACCATGCACTTTGAAGGCAATTGCGATCTGAAAACAGAACTCAACTATCCCTTTAATAATGCATGAGAAGAAAGGCCAAAAATTTCTGCACAATCTATTTTTGTTCCATGAATATATTGCTAGGAATTTTAAAAAGTAATATAAGCTTAAAAATCCTTAAATTGGTGACACGAGAGATTCAAAATTATTGTTTCTTCAATATATTTTCAATTTTTTGGACTCCGTTGCTGCCCATGTATATTATTTTTAGAGACATAACATTTTATTTTACTAATGGGCCAATAAAAGAAAAATGTTATTGTTGCCAACTTGAAGAACAGTATGTGCTCAATTTAGGCCTGAAAGTAAATGGGCCATTCCATGGTAACTCGCGTTACACTTAATGGGTACATTGACACGATAATGTGCCTATATCTTTAGAACTGCTAGGATCTACAAGATACTTTTTTCAAACATGGACAGGGTAGATATAGAACAACTGAATGAAACAAAAAAGAAAATTGAAGAACAAACATTTTTAGATTCTTGGATTATTGAATTTCGGTAACTCGCGTTACAAAAAAAGGACATGGTCAATTCTACGAGACCCTCTTTTCTCCTCATACTAGACAATCTTGACAAAATCTTTCCTATTTTAATTTGATAGTAGGTTGTGACTTACTAGTATAAGATCACAATATTAAAGATAAGAAACAATGGACTAGTAAAATGCAGGAAGCAAATATGTCGGTAACTCACGTTACGGTAACTCGCGTTACATTTTGTCCGGAGGCCATTTTTACCCCTTTGTAATAGATTAAATATCACAGGACCCCTTAGAATATGGAAATATATTCATCTTTTTCCATTTAGCGAAATTTTCAGGAAAAAAAATTACAAGAATCCTGTGTAATCTGCAATAAATTGTTGTTTTTTTCAGCTACAGTCCCACATGTACGTTTTTGATGATAGTTTGAGATCTTAGGAAATCAACAAAAATGAGAAAAAAAATTGTATTGAATTTGAAAGGCCCTAATGTTTTATGAACATCCATGGCATAAGGTTAGTGATAAATCAAAGAATTAACATAAGAGGTACATTTCTTTTTTTGATGTCATGTCCTTCTTCTCATGGAATGGCCCAAATCGTGTCTTAAAAGGATTACAGCTGACGTAAAGTTAACTACACTTCATAACACAGAGGAATACGCACAAAACCTTTATTGCACGGAACTTGCCATTCGTTTACATGTTTAAAGTATGTGGCTTTTTTTTTTCTCGGTTGTTTACCTTACAATTCAAAATCAAAGACTTTACCATTTTTTAATTACTCTCAGTTTTGACCTCAACAGAATTTACATGTGTAGATCTTACACAAATGTAACCTTTGATCTTTGACCTTCAACCAAAATAATAGTAAGGCAAGTACCTCTTTCTTCTACATGTACATGTAACAACAGCCCACATGACGGAAGTTTGAAGAAATTACTTTCATATACCCTTGGAATATGTTTTGCTAGCCATATGCTTTTGACCTTTGACCTAACCGGGAAACCATTTCAGGTAGGATGGTGGTATCTTCTCATAATAAGTGATTGAAGTTTTGTACTCACTCTTTGAGAATTGTAGCTTCAAGTTCAGCTGAAGGTGCTTTGGGTGTCTTGATGTAGTAGCCATCACCCTCGGGGGTCTGGAACCCTGGAGCCACTTGACAATCCTGTTGTGTCATGTTGACTGGCATCGTATTCTCAACCATGCCAGCGCTCACCTTAAGAGGGCCTGTGTTGCTGCCCAGAGCTCTGGCTGAGCCAGATACCGGTCCATACGAAGCCGCCAGAGCCCCTGCATGGGGGTACTTGGTGTACATATGCAGGATGGGTTCCTTGCTGACAAGCTGGGCTGGCAGGGGAACGGAGTTGCTCGAGAAGTGGGGCGAAGGGGTGGGACCGTCCTCTTCTCGACGCCCCATCTCAATCTGGATCTTGTGTCCCCGCTCAAAGTGACTGCTGCCGGCCCTCTGGTCCTGCTGCCCCACCTCCTTCAAGGTTCTCTCCAGCTCATGCATGGACATCTTCTCATAGTCTCCCATCTGGTGCGAGCCATGAGGTGTCCTCTGCGACGGGTCGTCCTCGTTGGCCGAGACATGACGGACCAACACCTTGCTGTAAGTCATCGTGTAGTTGGTCGCCGTCTCTTTAACCGCTTTCCCCGTGTTAGGCATGAACAGAGACGTGCTCGTCCAAGGATTATAGCTTCCTACTTCACTGTCCGACCTATCCGCCTGATCAGTAGTCTCATCGTCATCCGTAAACTTGGAAGTCTCTATCTCCTCCTCTGCATCAACATCGATACCATTCTTCCGGTGGTCGATGTCCTCCTCCTCCTCCTCGTCTTCAATGCCTGTGAAACTAAAGCTAAGGCCTGTTGATGATATGGCTTCCTTTGATTCAGTGGACGTTCCCCAGAGGCTATCTGACAGGGCTCTACTGCTGGACGTTGTCCATGATGGCTGGGTATCAGCCATATGAGCCCACAGGCTGGTGGGGGGATTGGTGGAGCTGGAGGTGGCGGGCCTACTCCATGGGGTGGAGGTGACAGGCTCATCATCCTTGGTGTCGGTATCATCCTGGATCTCATCCAGCCTGGTCACCAGGTAGGTCTGACGTTCCTTCAACTCTGTCAGGCTCGGGCCCTAATACAAACATTCAAGAGAGATTCCATTTTAAAAAACCATGTCGAGGGTTCAGTGACACAAAGACATAACTCCATATTTTGCCAAAATGAGTATTTGATATCAAAATGTTCAGAAAAATGTGGGCTTTCCAGGAAACACAAAGACTTAACTCCACCCAACACCCCATGGAAGTCACTGGCTAGTGAAACATAGACTTAACTCCTGAAGGCCCAAGTGCTCAGTGACACATAAACCACTTTTTCTCAAAATATTCAAAATGGAGTTACGTCTTTGTGTCACTGACCCCTCGATGTGTACCCCAAACAAAACAAAAAAGTCATAAGTACCTTGCTGCATAGTAACATTAAAAAATATGTCGTATTTACATCTAGCTTGATGAATTGAGCGTTACTTTTTACTATAAGAGTACTCTTTATTTCTCCACTGGATTAACTAGAGTATAGCTTTTTAAAAGACTACATCATAAACAAGTCTATGACAGAGCAAAAGTTTTGACAAACATAATCTTTTTTTGTTAGTTTTGTTCAGATAAAACCTCATTGATTTTGACTCTGCTAAAGAAAATCATCAAAGAAAATATAGCCCCATTGGCAGTTAAAATAACTGAACAACATATTCTTATGAAAACACATTCATTAATGATAATGCATGCAAAACCCTTTAAAACTCTTGTGCTCCAGCTCAAATATTTATGATATTACATGGCTTAGAGAGCAAAAAAGTTGTAGCGAAATAAAACATGACTTACTCTTTCCAATCTAAGAGGAGGCTTTGGTTTGGGTGGTGAGACTGCAACCTTGTGGCTTGGTAATTTACCCCCCTTCATCTCCGGTCGCTTGGAGCTATCATCCGGGATGAGGTGGCTGGGGTTCCCCTGTGGTGTGCCTACCGGTGGTAAATGTCTCATGTCAGTGATCCTGTGCCCTCGCTGGTCGTACGGAGGGTAGAAGTCTGGCTCCCCATGATACCTGCATGTGAAATGTAAAAAAAGTGAGCCGAAGGTTCTCTCCATGTTATACCCTTACTGCACTAAGTAGTGGGGGGCGAGGGGAGGCCCTTTTCAACACCCGGATTGCTTGGAATCCCATATTATACTTTCATGATTAAAACTGATCAAGTCAACCCCAAACGAATATAAAACTACTTATCAATTATCAGAATTCTCAGAAAACACTTTGCGTAGGAATACAAACTACTTGCACATTATACAGTAAATGGAAAATGAGGGAAAATTAATCTCTTGTTCTCTAACCACTTTATATTGCATAATAGAATATCTACTCACATGGGTTGTGGCTTGTACCTCTGGCTCGGCAACAACGATGGGGGCGGAGCTGAGGGCTCAACATAGTCATCCACAGGCACCACATCATACGCCTTCATGGTGTGAGGATCAACGTAGCGCTGCACCACCGGTCTGCGGTACTGCCTCGGCGGCTCCGGCGGTGGAGTCTGGGGCATCACCTGGGACTCAGGGTACAGGTAACCACCACCGGAGGGGGCGTGGTAGGGGTAAGGGTGCTTGTCCGGCTTGCGGTCATAGGGGTCGCCTTGGGGTTGCGGCGGCATGGTGGGCACCAGGATGTGGGGTTGGGGTGGTGGATGAGGTGAAGGCCCCTGGCCACCATAGGCGGCAGGAGCTTCATTGGATGGCATCCTCCTCTCATAAAAGTACCCTTCTGTGAAGGAAAAAAATGTATTAATTTAATTTATTTATTTATTAAAACATCTTTATACAGGATAATATGTTCTGGGGGGTGTTTCATAAAGCTGTTCGTAAAGTTAGGCATGACTTTACGAACAACTTGTATATGAAAAGCCACATGGGATGCTCAATCATTATTAAATACATCAATTAAATTGAACTGTGCAGATGTAGATTAACATTCTTATGATAACAAACAGTTTTAATGCAAAGTATAATTTAATTGAGGTTATTGAATATATCAGAAAAAACTTTGGGCATCCTATCTGGCACTTCATATAAGAGTTGTTCGTAAAGTCATGCGTAACTTTACGAACAGCTTTATGAAACTCCCCCAGGTATACTGTTTTTCAACATGGTCCTGTTAACATCAAAAAGGAATTAATATTCACTGTACCCGCACCTCTGATAAATTAGGACTTGATTCTTCAGAAAGCTATTAACATCAAAGGATGTACCGGAATCAAAAGTGCTAAGGCACAAACAAAATGTTGTGCAGCATGCAATTCTTGAGTTGAAAAACGACTATGTCCAAATATCTCAATTTACTGCAGCTATATAATGGTACACATATATACATGTATGTATATACATAAATATATCAGTCGAATCATTTAAGAGACATTTAAAAAAAACTCATTTATTTTCTTTGTAATTGTCATTTTTTAGAGTGTAATGCACTTGGAGAGTATATAACTATTATGTTTGTATTTTAAAATGTAAAGAGCCTTGAGCATGTTCATGTAAAGGCGCTAAATAAATACTAATATGTATGTATGTATCTAACCACAAAGGCGTTATGTATTGAATATTTTAATTTTTGATAGGTTTACCTGACTTTTAAGAAGTTTTCTCAGAGCCTTGGTAATGAGGATTAATGCCTTACCAAAGGGCATGAACGCATTGATTTGGTTTTGAACCAGGGTTACCAGACCACTGCTCTACCACTGAGCCATCGCGCCTCCTCACTACCGTGCGAGTCAAAAAAAAGTTTAAACCTAGAAAGTTGCTGATTATTTCAATAATCATCTATGAACAGTAAATTATTATACATCTTATGAAAGAGTGTTTTATCCCAAATAATTTGGTATCATTTTTGTGTGGTATGTGTTCACGCTTGGATGAACAAGAGGCATTCTTTGCGAGAGTGCAAAAATCGACTTGCGCTAAAGTGATGCCTACAGCATGTGTTATGTTGGGGTTAGCGGAGTGAGAGAATGAATTGAATGTATCAAATGAAATGCATTGCATATGCTTTTTGCAGTTGCAAAGTCACACACGCACACACACACACACGTACAAATATTTGTTGATATTTGATATTCGATATTTTATGTGTAGCATGATTAATTTTGTTAGGGATGTTATTTGGATCTGCAAAAACCGATTTAATAACCGAATCCCAATTGTTTTATTTAAACATCACATAAGCAACTTTGGCGCAAGTTGATTTTTGCACTCTCGCAAACAGTGCCTTCTGTTCATCCAAGCGTAAACACATGCCACACAAAAATGATACCAAATGATTTGGAATAAAACAATCTTTCATAAGATGTATAATAATTTACTGTTCATTGATGATTTTTAAAATAATTAGCAATTTTCTAGGTGTAAACTTTTTTTGGACTCACACTGTATTAAGTATTGTTTAATGTATTAAATATTTAAATTTAATTCTCTGTATATCACAATTGCACAAAGTTAACCAAATATCTTCCAATGAGAGACTATCGCTGATTAGTTTAGCGCACTTACCTTCAGGCGGTAGAGCGTATCTGTCGATATCCGGCCCTGGCCTTCGCCCCTTGGCTTCATGGTGCATCACCCTGCCCCCGCCCACACTGGACGTCCTCTCCGAGTCCTCTCTGCCCACCGATGGTTCGCTAGCATTCATGCTCAGGCTACGACTGGCTAGGTACATCTTGGTGTTACTGCTCGGTAAGATATTGGGGTACTCCAGGTGGGGTGGCAGCCCAGGAGTGGGGCTACTCAACTCCTTCCTGGTAGTCATTGACTGCTCGTTACGATCCCTGAGTCCATAGAGAGAAGCTTGACTGGAGATACAATGGTACAAATAAATAATAATAAAATAGAAACAAGGAACTGTCTGTCCCTAAGTCTATCACCAAAGGGAAGTGTGGTAATATAGGGAATTCGCCTTGACAGGCCAATGGCCTTTGTTGATCCCTCACATCCACCACCCTTCATCCTTCTTTCATAGTACCATGTGACTGAATGTTGTTATATTTATATTGTTTAATTCATACTGATTTGTTTGTATATCTTCTGATGTGTTTTCAAAGAGATGTGAAATAAAATTGAATTGAATTGAATTGAACAAATTAAGAAGACTTGTAGGTGTTTGATTTCAGATGTTTTTTGAAGAAGTCAAGTGAAGCACTCTTTGAAAGGCTTGGGGCAATGGATTGAAGGGATTTGAAGCCAGCCTATTTTTCAAGATTCGGGAATGAGAAGGGAAGGGGCTGATACAGATTAATGTGAATATGATGTTTTCTACTGCTGGAAGATTGAGAAGAAGTATTGAGGAAGTGTGGTTGACATAGATTTGATAAGTTTAAAAGTAGAACAATTGAAGGAGAACAATGTAGTGAAAAATAAAATATAAAAGAGAAGAATGAAAGAACAGAGATAATCAGAGAAAGAGAGGGACGCAACAAGAAGTCAACTTAGGAGCAAGAAAGGGATAGAAAATAAAATCATGAAGTCCTGACGTCCTTGAAAAAGATCAATATAATCAACATAGCCCTATCAAATAAAATTTAGATTTTAAGAATTTGAACCCTAGTGACAGAATAGCTGACAGATGTATTGGAAGGAAGAGTGGAAGGAAGTAGACCCAGAGGGAGACCCAGAATCAACTGGGAAGAGAATGTCAAGAACTGGAGTGGACTAAAACTGCAAGATTGCACCAGAATGGCAGAAGATAGAGTGAAATTGAGAGATGTTGCAATCAACCTCCGAACCGGGAGAAGATACTGAGATACAGACAGAATAGCGACCATGATTGACTCATATAAACATTAAAAGAAAATAATTAGTTGTAATTTGTTTTCGCAATTTTGGTACAAGAAGTTAGACTAGTTCTAAACTAGATCTAACGGAGAATCTATGTTTACTTACATATCTTCATCCAAACGTAGCTCATCCTCATTTCTCTCTGAGGAAGCCAGCTGAGAGAATGCACTGAGAGGGGGCCTGTGGATCCGGCCCGATTCAGATTTATAGCCCATGGCAGCCGAGCCAGTGCTGCGTTCCTGCTGATCAGAGAACAGCCCCGACACGCTGCTGTAGAGAGACTCGCTCCCCAGCCTGGCGGCAGCGGAGCATTCCTCCAGGCTGTATATGGGTTGGTCCCTTGGTGGCTTGCCGTTTGAACTGCCAGGCATGGACTGGGTAGATGTCTCATTATTACCCTCGCTTAATAAGGAGCCATCTCCGCGTGAAACGTTTGAATTCTTGTTCTGACTGTTCAGCGAGGACAGGAGTTGACGGCTTTTTGAACGGTACCTGGAATAGACGAAAGTGAATTTTAACACACTGGATTTCGTAAGTTTGCAATAATGCAGGAATGTAGGCTTAGATGAAGTCTGCTGTATATTGTGAACGATTGTGTATGTATGTTTGAGATCTTTTTCCAATTTTCCCTATTTTGTTTAGGGTACTCAAAATAACACTTTGTAATCTTATAATCTAAATATCATTTCTACTCACTTTTCCAGCTCTTCCTCCGAGTGCGCGAACGTGCAGCTTGGCCCCCGAGGGCAGCCTCCCTTCTGCATGACGTCCCGACACAGACTGGTCTTGTACTTGATGTTCTGGGTCTGGAGATCCAGGGCTTTCTTGTTCTGGGAGTAGTTCTGGAGGAACTCCATCAGCCCCTTGAGGACCTTCCTGACAGAGTCTAAAGCAGACAGGATGCCTTCCCAGGAGGAGATCATTGCTCCTGTTGATAACATTGATAGTAATAATAATGTCAGTAATAATAATAGAAGGCCTAGAGAATCTTGCTTTGACAAGAAAAATTGTGGGAAGGAGGAGTAGGGGGAAGGAGGATACTTTGGAAAAAAATTACAAAAATTGTAGGAAGAGAGAGGAGTGAAAGAACTAATAGAGAAGGATATGAACCAAGGGTTGTAGAACAGCATGATCGCCAAAGTCAATTGAGATGGCACTTAGAGAGAGAGAATAATAATATCGATAACATACTAATGATAACAATAATAACCATAACAACAACAATATAATTTTTATAATAAAATTATAATAATAATGCCATTCACTTACACATACACAAATCTGCAGCAATTTTTGTTGGTGATACAGTCAAAACTGCTTTTATTTTAGTGACCACCTGTCTTCAAAGACCACATTTTTTGTTTCCCTTGAAAATATTTCTCATTTAAACATTAAAAGGAACCTGTCCACAAAGACAACCTGTCTTCAAAGACCACTTTTTGTGTCTCCCTTGGGCGGTCATTAGAGACAGGTTTGGCTGTATCTGAATGAACCTGCAATGTTACATGATTTTTAAAAATATGGAATGGTTAATCATTGGTGTGATGCAAAGGTTCAAAGATGTACCCACCTGGACTTGGGTCAATGGCTGCCAGTTTCTCCAGCTGAGCGTGGAGCTGGGCCAAGCGGACTGGATCTCCGGAGCGCTGGAGACAAATGGTCAACTCCTGGATACTGGAGGTGAAGGAGGCTGGAGTCTGGAGCTGTAGAAATGTAATGGATTGGGGAAAAATGTGTAAATTAGTACAAAGTATTAAATTGAAGAGATGACTGGTAATACAAAATCAAAGAATAGCAACGGATTCAGACACACTGAAGCTTTTTGACTTGAACTCTTTAGATTCAATCGCAAGAATGAACACAGAAGGCTGAAATCGGAATAGAAACGGAAAGAACGTTATGCCAGCTGCTTAATAATGAAAACGTTGAATGAACGGCAACAATGGCCCTGCGCATGTATTGGCTGAGCTCTGTATTATAAGATACAGAAATGTGAAATCTATTACACTTTACGTCATCAAAAAACTAGATGGATCTTGGACTGCACCCAGTTGAAAATGATGCCTCCGCCATCATTTTACAAAACAAAACGGAAGCAATTTTTAAAATCAAAGTTTGATTGTAATCCATTAACAGGTTCTCAGAATATCGTGATTAAAAGCTATTTTTCATATACATGGCTCTGCAAGATAAATACATGTCCTGAGTTTGATAGTAATCCATCTGTCGGCTACTTTGTAGCGGAGGCATAACAAACAAATATGATACCTAGAGGTAGGAGTGGAAGAGTACGATCATTCTCACCTTGTCAATGATGGACTGCATGTGAGATTTATGATTGAGATCACCGTACAGCAGGGACGACCACTGTTCCGGTGATATCCTCAAGCCGGCCTCGATGGCTATCTGAACAATCTGCGTGTCGTGCTCGCGTCTCAGGGAATCGTAGTTGCGGAACTGCACAATAAAAGAAATAAGCAATGTCAACATTGTAGATGTGATGCGGATGAGTGGATAAGTCATCACTCTGTGAACCACAGGTTACAGGGTTTGAATCCCTGCCGCACCACTAATGTCATTGATCTGCATCGCCACTCTTCACCCAGGTGTAGTAAATTAGGTAGGAACTTATTCCTTGTATGCTATGAGCGCCTTAGGGCAGCTGGGCTTAACACAGGGTTATACAAGTAGTTTGTGGGCGCTTACAGCATTCCCTGGTATAGATATGTGCTCAATATAAATGAAGCTTTCATTATTGCAGAGCTGCCAACCTTGTGCAACCAAAAAAAGGAACCATTATGGCAAAAAAAGCAATTTCAAGCAAAACGTGACACACTTCCAATGCAGAAATGTCCATTCCTCATGCTGTTATTTCCATATTAGGACCTATAATTTATATTAAGTACAATTTTTTTTTTTATTATAGGCATTTCATTCTTTTTGAGAATATTCACACCTTTCAATCTCTATAGAAGTTTTCTAATGAAGACGTACTACCGTAATAATGAGAAAAAAACATGATAATTCCAGGAAAAACGTAATGGTTGGCAGCTCTGTTGTTGTTATCACATGTAATTTCTTTCAAATTTAATATTCAAATGAGCTCACCTCTTCTTTGAGTTGCATGAGAGAGGACTCCTCTTCCCGCTTGGTGACCTTAAAACAGGACGCTCGGTAGAGGAGCTGAACCACGTGACCTACGCTCGTCTTGGAGGCCTGAGGGAACTGCATCTCAAGCTTCTGGACCACGAACATGACCAGGACCTTGCGAGAGAGAGGTGTCCCGTCCTCCAGCGCCAGCAGAACAAGCTTCAGAGTTTCCTCCTGCATGGCTGTAAAAGACAGGACATGTATGATTTAATAAATCAATATTTACATAGACAAATACATATTATACAGATAGTGACTGGCAGGGGTGTAATATAACATTTTTTTGACCGCTGAAGGGAGTTATATTTTCAGGGTTTCTTCCTGCATTGCTGTAAAAGACAGACATGTATAGTTTGGTAAATAAATAGTCATATACATTGTAGAGATCATGCGGTCTAGTGGATAAGTCACCACACTGTGACATGTATAATTTATAAATAAAATATTCGCATACCCAGGACATACAAATGCAAATGTCAACAGTGTAGAGGTGATGTGGTCTAGTGGATAAGTCGCCACACTGTGACATGTATAATTTATAAATAAAATATTCGCATACCCGGTACATACAAATGCAAATGTCAACAGTGTAGAGGTGATGCGGTCTAGTGGATAAGTAGCCACACTGTGACATGTCATTTACTAAATAAATATTCACATACTGTACATATATAGTTATAAATAAGGTGTATGGACATTCTTCTCTTTTGTTCACTGGGTGAGGAATATCCAATCACGATGAGCTGAAAAACTCATATTTATAATTAGACCTAAACTAAAAAATAATTTATGGCGACATTTTGTTGGTTTTGGAGTGACTGGTCACATGTTTCTATCATTTGTTTAATAGATACAACCTCCAGGGGGGCGTATCACAAAACTTGTTATCAGTGACAAATGACAGTTTTTGTTATAAGCTATGAAATCCTTGCTTGTGATTGGTTATCAGCAGATTTGTCATTGAAAAAAGGCTTTGTGAATCTGGCCCCTGGAATGATATTTCACATATCATATTGAGAAGAAACGAAGAGTATTTGCATGGAGCATATCAAACAGAAATAGTGCTTTTTCATCAATTTTAACTCATCCAAATAAAAATAAATAGAAATTTACATGGGATGTTTACATGCAACATTATAGAAATAACAAGAACAGTCATGGTCGAAATAAATAAATGATGACATGAAATACACTGAAAGCATGATTAAAGGGATTGGGTAGCTTTGCCTCAGATTCTAAACAAAATCCTGGATTTAGCTAATGCTGCAATCATAATTATAAACCTTCAGGTCAGTCAGGATTCCCATGACTTTTACAAGCCGATCGCCTGTCTGATTTTCAAGATATTTATGATTGGAAATCAAAATTTCAAAAACCATTATAACTTTACAGTCTATTGGGGGAAATGAGTATGGTAAAACCGGTCACTCAAAGATTTTTACTTTTTTGAGGCACTTCGTGATAATTTTTAAGCGCAATTTTTGTAGGGCTTCAATAATACACCATATCACAGACACTGATAACACGTACATGTAGGGCCATGCATCTCAGATTTAACATTGTGAAACGATGCCTTTAACGTCCAAAACAACTACATACCAGGTCCAAGAAACTGGCAGCCTCTGGCTCGCACTGCAGCCCACAGGTTGGTAGAGAGCTGCTGCGGGTTCTGATGCTGAATGATCAGTTCTGTAACGATCCTCTCCCCCAGAGATCGGGCTGCCCGAACCACCCTGGCCCTGCCTTCTCCCTCAATCAGCTGACAATTGACCAGGGTGACTAGTTTACGCTGGATCGGACGGCTGAGGAGGGGCGAGCCACTGTTACCGTTCAGGGTTCCATTCAGGCTACCGGAAGATGCTGAAAGACATTAGCCGGAGGTCAAGACACTATGATAAAGATCATTGCTAATACACATATATCTTATGCTTTAACAGAATATGTCTCAGTTTTACGCATCATCTCATCATCAAAGGTTAAAAAAAGAAGTTGTATTGGAGTAACAGGCCAGAGGAAAAACAAGACAATTGGGACTGCTGGTGCATATCATCACCAAGTTTGAGCCTTGTTTCTCTAGTGGTTCTAGAAATTTTGCAATAATAAGGCTGATAGCTGGAATATTAGAAGTTGACCTCTGTGACCTTTGACCTAGTTACTCCAAAGTCAATGTGTCTTCCTATGGTGATATTTGGTCGGAAGCATAAAAAATAGGGCAAGTGCATCAATTCTTTTTCTCCTTGGAAATGGGATACTTCCTTCTTGAGGAGTTTGCACGAGGACAATTTACCTCCCCCCCCAAAAAAAAAATTACCTCAACGAAATTTGTCCTAGGGGTAATTTTCTGGGGGTCATTGTCCAGGGGGTCATTGCCCTGATACGCATATATCTGAAGGAGGGATTATATATACAAACTGTAAGACAAGACAGTACCAGAAGGCATCGCCTGACTGTATCATTAGTTTTTACTCACGTTTGTTAAGAGCCTTTAGATAGAGAGCCAATTCTTCAATGATGCCCTGTGTAGTCTGATAGTTTTCAAACTCAGCAGGCTTCAGGCCATCTGGAATCCGCTTCCTTGACGGATCTCTCATCACTTCCTGACCAGCCACGAGCTGAAGAATGGCAAAGTTTGTAGGAAGCTTGTCCACCTACCACATGAATTATAAGATGATATTGATAAGGATCAACTGTGAAAGTGAAACCTGTATTATTATTTAAAGACCCTATTCGATTAAAATACAACTTGATATATAAAATGGAAAACTGAATGAATGTAGAGTACAAATGTAAAGGAATAAAAAGTAATTACTCTTTCATTATTGCACAAAAGCAAATTTTCTGCACCCCTCCAAATTACGGGTCAACGGGGGTCAAACTTGCTGAAGTTACAGTGACGACATAACATTGTGGAACCCATTGTTTCACCTACAGTATAGTGTATATAGCCAAGGCGATGAGCTGTGCTTAATTAATGCAAAGGCATTGTGAATATGCGTACTCCACATACATGTAAGATGATGTCATCAAGTCGATCGCAAGATTTTAGGTCAACAACTACCAATTTTCAAAGCTTTAGATTTTGAGTTGTCAGAGAGCTGATATTTTTTGACAGACACTAAAATGGCATATAATTGACATTATTGTAATCTATGTCTTATAAGCTTTCCGTTGATAGATAATTCATCCATTTCATTAATCAGTTCGGATATGGTCTTTAAGAGTGGTTCTCGTAGGCACGTGGTCTTAAATGTACATGTATAGGCTACTTTTGTACATGTTTCAATGAGAAACCATTTTAAAGGAAACAAAACCGAGGTATTTATAGAGTGGTGGTCTTCCTATGTACAGGTGGTTGCTAAAGCAGGTTTGACTGTATTAAGCATCACATTTCTAAAGAACTCAGAAATCATCTGCATAAAACGGCAAAGGTAACATTGCAAGATCCCCCCCTGAATATACATGTACATTGAATTGAAGAGTGTATTGGTGATGCTCTGCGGAACTAGATTTACTTATCAATGAAGTACAGTACGAGCTGGGCAGTAGGCAATAATCCTTAATGGAAAATGATACTAAAACTTCAAAGAGACAAGCACAATTTGACATGATCATAAGGCCTAAAAAATAGATGTTGTATTGCCCTGTACATGTACAGTGTAGGTACTAAAACATAGGTCGGTCTGTCGAAATCTTTTTTTTTAAATAATTTTTTTTCTTTTTTCCTCCTTCTTTGGGCGGATATTTCTCAGTTTTTAATGCTTTTTTTTTAAAAAGTGGACCGTAGATTTCAAGATTTTGGGGTTGGTCTCAAAGGGCAATACAACATCTTTTTTATTTAGGCCTAACAACAGATCGCCCCTGTTCCACACTTCCTTAGATGTATACATTATAAATGAATCAAACTAATTCATCAAGAACAGGTAGTTTTAGAAAATAACTGCTATTAAACACCATCTATCAAGATAAAGAGAGGAAAGGACAAAACTGAACCAATCACCAAAACATGTTTTTCTCTTGATCTAAGGGGTTGCTACATGTATATTTGTATGAAAAATATGAGCTTCAAATATTACTTCTACAAAGAGATATTGAAATTTAAATACATTCTAAATGAACAGGAAAACATAAACAGGGCTCAGACAGCACCCAAGTCCAACTTGTGTCCCATGCAACTATACTGTACATGCAGGGTTTTATGTTATCCTTTATTTTCTTCATACTCTTTGAATGTTTACCTAAAGAATGCCAGGTAAAGTATTTTGAGGTTGATTTTGTACATTCTTGCTGAACTCATATGGATTGAGTATCTTTGTCTCAGATTATAAACAAAATCCTGGATTTAGCTCGTGCTGCAATCATCATTATAATCCTTTAGGTCAGTCAGGAATTTTTACAACACTACAGTCTATTGGGGAAAATGAGTACGGTATGGTAAAACCGGTCACTCAAAGATATTACTTTTTTGAAGCATTTAAGGATCATTTTGAAGTGCATTTTTTTTAGGGCTTCAATATTTTATTTTTGTACATAGGGCTTCCCAGTGCTACAATAAATCAGTGTATTTAATATCTTTAGCGCAATACCTGGATGACTGACCAATATTGTTTTTGTATTGCTCAGTCATCTGGGAACTTCAACTATCGATATATGGATATCATGGCAATATCACAAAAAAACGAAGCCATATATAACAAAGGAAGTCAATTTTTTTTTTTTCGCTAGTCAGACTAATATAGATAATAATGATAATATTGGATGGCCCTGAGTGTGATACAAGAATATATTGCTTGAGCTACATTGTATAATAGCCTAATAATAGCCTAGCCTAATAGTCCACTCCAAATTTTATTAAACCGAAACGGAAATTCTTTTTGCCCAATTGATCGTGAGCCCGGCAGCCACTGAGCAGCGCCAGATCGACGTTGCTCTATCCCTTATTGTTGAACGCCAAACAAGGTGGCAACAACTCCCATCTATTAACGTCTTTTGGTATGACGCGGCTGGGGTTCGAACCCACGACCTCCCGGTTGTGAGGCGGACGCTCTACTGACTGAGCCAATATATTCTTGTATCACACGAAAACAAAGCCATACAATATTATTATTAAACAATGCCTTTAATTTTTCAAGTGATTGGTACTCATTATTTAGTTTTCTCATTCAAAAGGAAATCCTGAAATGAAAGCTGGACGAAATATTCTACTCACATCCTTGGAAATGGGAGTCTGATCGAACGGGCACTGTTGACGATGCAGCTTGCTGAGACACATTCTGCAGGCTGTGTGACCGCACGACAGACTGACTGGCTGACGGCCGCTCGGGCTGAAGTCCTTGCAGCACACGGGACAAGAGAGGACCTCCGTCCATTGCGGGGTCTGGACAGGCATGATGGATGCTTGGTGGTGTACGCGTTTGTGTGGAGTGTGTGGAGTCTGGGGACCTCCTAATAATAGTTGGATGATCCTGTATGGTTTCTGCTGTGCCGTATCAGCAAGCAGAAAAGCCGACGCTAGAGGTTCTTACAAAGTCCAGCCATGATCACACCTTTAGCTGCACTGAGAATGAGAACAAGAATGAAGAAAATAATTTAATAAGACTATACAGATAGAGAACTAAATGTAGGTACAGGTTGACCAAAAAAAGAGAGAGAGAGAGAGAGAGAGAGAGAGAGGGGAAGAGAGAGAGAGAGGGGAAGAGAGAGGGGAGGGGGAAGGGAGAGAGAGAGATAGAGAGAGGGGGGGGGGGGGAGAGAAAGGGGGTAGAGATTAGAAATGGAATAGCCAGGGAAATTATTTGGTAGGTGGGGGGGGGGGGGTCTAATTTCAAATTTCACTGTCACCAGTAGAGTGTAGACGTAGACAGGTGGTAGATCATAGATGGGGTATTTTTTTCAGAAGAAAAATTATTTTAAAATGCCACAATTGGTTGAGTATTTTGTTGTTGTTAAAATGATATTTGATTACATCCACCGTCATTGCCATTAGTGCTCCATCCTGTCTCCCTGACTATATATATGGCTTCACCAGTCTCTGATTATGACGCCAGACTAGACGTAGTCTACATGTAAATTAGAAATAGTCAAATTTGACTGAAAACCGAAAGCCAAAACAAGAACCAACAATGTTTATCGACAGTCGTTTCACTGTCACTGAGATGATACCAAGTACTTTACGTCTGGCTTGCCTTCTGGGCTAGCGGCTTGATCCATCCAGTACGTGACCGCCTCTCAATATTTATTATATGAGGAAGGTTATTTCCCCATACTATCAGAATCAGATGATTATTCGAGGCTTGAGCAGCACACCCGTCCAAACTAAATCTGAGTACCCCCGCCCCCCCCCCCCCCCCCCCCCCAGAGTTAAATAAATTAAATGGGAGTGGTTATCAGGGTTAGATCTATATTATCTCTCAATAAGCCAGAGGCTTGGCCTGTGCAATAAACATTATAGCACCTGGCCTAGGCCCTAAAACTTAAAGTTAAAAGAGTAAAGTTACAATCAACATAATTACAAACAGACAAACAACAAGGCACTCAACAAGTCTCAACTCAAGCCTCAGTCAAGGACGAAGTGAACATGGCGATACTGATAGTGAATAAGCGATGAGCAGAGACAATGCAATGTAGACTAAGGTTTGGCTGTCTACACTACCTTTTCACGAAAATTCAATTCCAACACAAATCACAGTAACAGCTATTTTAAAGCAGATCACAAATATATTGACCTATTCTACTTACGTACCTGTCTAGGCTACAAACTAGACTGAGCTGAGGACTTGCGAATGTGAGCTAGTAATGTATGATTCAGTAGTTGTGCGTTGTGTATGCTGGTCAAATGCAAACTGAACGGCAAATGTGCAGTGCTAATTTTAGCGCAGGGCTTGGAGTCTCTAGCTAGCTAGCTACGTAGCGCTATCTTCAATGTAGATCTCACGTACAGCATACACACACTGCGCGCGCTGTAGTTTTTTTAGCATTGTTATGGCGGCTTCTACAGGCAATCCACCCAGTGCCAGTTCATTGCAGTTTTGACCAATTACAAACGGAGAGGGAAGGGGTGGGGTGGATTGCAGCACCCCCGCCACCACCACCGCCCAAAAATGATATTTCAAGATGTATTTATCATCTGCTCTAGCTGCCCCGGTTTTACCATTAGTAATGGAAATAATGATGGTAATAATAAATGATAATTATGATGGTAATAACAATAATATTAATGATAACAAAACTAATTTGTTTATTTTGACTATGCTAACCCTGCATGGTACAGTAACATAAACAAGTCAGATCAAAAGAAGTTGAAGATTATACAGAACAAAATGGTGAGATTTATCAACTGTTCTGGTCCAAGAACTCATGTTGGCTATAGCGAACTTTCTAAAGCTGGTTTTCTTGAAGTCGACCAAAGATCAAAACAACTCGCATTGCATCACGTGCATAAAATATATCATACTAGGGCGAATCATTATATTCGATCCAACTTCGATCTTGTTACTGACGTACATGATTATAATACAAGAAATAGACGATTCAACTTTAACTTACCAGAAAGAGTAGGTAGTATTGGAAATTCGTTTTATTACAATGCCATAAAACATTGGAATTCCCTTCCCAATGGTGTAAAAGAAATAGGAAACTATGATCATTTTAAGAGGAAATTAAAGGAATACCTAATACTTGACAGTCAGAGAAGAGAAGTGAATGACATGTTATATGATTGAAATTGTTATTCTTCTGTCGGTTCATACTTTTTCATGTTGTATATACTGATGTTTTCGTACGTTATAGAAATTCTACAAATTCATCATTATTTTCCTCTTCTTCCTTCTCCTCTTTTTCTTCTTCTCCTTCTTCTTTTTCTTCTTGTACTTAATATCATTTCTATCATCAGTTTAATGTTGTTATTATTATCTTTAATAAGTAGTTCTTTTAATTTTCTTATCTGTCTGTAAATATTACTATTTTAATTTATTAATTGTATACATGTCCGTAAGGGACCCCACTGGAAATAAGCTCTCGAGCTTTCGTGGGTTATCCTGTTCAAGCTGACTTATTTTTGATCTGTTATTATTGTATATTGTTGTATGTTGGAAGCTTGTCGAATAAAAAAAAAAAAAAAAAATCAATGGTCACAATAAATATGATAACAATATTGATTAAAAAAAATTAACAATAATGATAGTAATTAAACAAATGATATCAATAAAAATATCAATTATAATATTATTAGTAACAAATTAAATATAAAGGTGATTATGATTATAAAAACAATATTGATAGTAATGAACAATAATAATAATAATGATAATAATAATAATAAGAATCATAATAATGATGATAATAACACCAACGATTATAATAATAATTATAAAAGGAAGAAGAAGAAAGAGAAGAAGAAGGAGAAGAAGAAGAAGAAGAAGAAGAAGAAGAAGAAGAAGAAGAAGAAAAAGAAGAAGAAGAAGAAGAAGAAGAAGAAGAAAATAAAACAAAACAACTGTCCTTTGCGAAAGACAACGGTACTAATCCCAATTCCCCACCGTTTCTGTAAAATACTTTTTTTTTTAAACAGAAAAGTACAAAGGTTCAAATAGGATTGCACACGAGAAAGGGGAAGAGAAGAGAAAGAGAAAGAGAAAGAGAGAGAGAGAGAGAGAGAGAGAGAAAGAGAGAGAGAGAGAAAGAGAGAGAGAGAGAGAGAGAGAGAGAGAGAGAGAGAGAGAGTGCGCAAAATGATGCAGATAAGAATGACTAGTAATGAAGAAGAGGGGGGGGGGGGGGGAAACGGCATGAGAACGTTGGGGGGGGGGGGGTGAAAAATAAAACAAAAGGGGAAATTTGAACACGAATTGATTACGCGAACATTTAATTTGTTTTTCAAAATTGTAAAAGAAAAGATTTTAATTTTCTCTCAAAGAATTTGAGTTGTGAATAGGGCAAGTTTGATTAATTAAGTTTTCCCAACATTAGTTAATCAATTTGGGAGGGGTGGGTATGATAAACGTATAACATTACAAACTGGTATCATATGAAAATGTTTGTGGCGGGCCTCTTAAAATTTCTGACATTCACTTTTTTATCAACCGACACGCAAGCCAGAATATTAAGCGGCCTGTGGGAGCAACTATTAAATCCGCAAACTCCCCAAGACGATCCAATATCTTTCACCCTGATTGTCAGAAGGCTTCAATCTAATTTTGTTAGGTTAATAATAATACCAATAATAAAAACGGTGCTTATAAAGCGCTTACCACCGAAGTCAAGTTTCCCCCAAGCAGTCCAAAGTGGAAATGTTTCCAGAAACTTTCACTTCATATTTCATCTACATCCTGCGGTCCAAGGACGCTCTTATAATTTCTTCATTGATTTTTTGATCAACCAGCACGCAAGCCAAAATATCATGCCTGTATATGTTGCTGGAAAACTCTGCAAACTCCCCGTGTCCATCCGATATAGTTTACCCCTGATTCATGGTTATCAAAAGTTTGCAGACTCATGCTGTCAAGTTTCCCCCTAAACAGCCCAGAGTGCGGAAATGTTTCGAGAAACTTCCGTTCATATTTTCATCTAGATGTGGTTATTACCTCGCGTGCCAAACGATTTCCTGACAAAATTGCTTTCTTTCCTTCTCGATTTTAAGAGTAAAGGGACAGAATCTGCTGCTGGTGTAGGAAAATTGGTGGAATTTTGCAACCTTATTTTATAACCAATCTCTGCTTCTATAGCATTCATTCATTCATTCATTCATTTATTTCGGTTAAATGAAAGAAAATTCATTGTAAAAACAGTCCAAATAATGATACATACAAGTATGACAGATTGTTCAAATTACATAGCAGTGTACAACAAATTAGGCGTAAGCTGCTATATTATGTCAGATGGTAAATTTACGAGCCCATCCAAACTTAGTTTCTTATGAAATATCAATTTTCCCAATAGCCTCGTAAAGTTAACGTCGGGAAACATTATAGGGACTTTTTAAAGTTCATAATTTGAACGCAATGTTGTGATTTTCGCATTGCGTGGCAGACGGCCTTCCGAATTTATTTAAAGGAAATTTCGGTAAAGGACTCTGAGGAAAACGGGGAATTTTGTAAATTCGTTAAACCATTGTCTTTAGTATAATGTTCGCATTATCTTACAGTTCGGTGGAAACAATCGGAAATCTGATTTGTTTTTGTTTTGTTGTCCCTTAATATTAAAGCTTGGTAGTATTATTTATCTTTATTTGGGGTTCTATACACAAGACCAGAAAAATTGAAACAGCGGGCATTTATTTTCGTTCTAGATAGCGATAGTTGATGGAAAGATTAACATTTAATGATCATTAAATTGTTTCGATCTGCATGCATATGTTTTTTATAATGACAATTTCCCCCTTCTATGATGATGATCCGAAAATAAATCTTGATTTTATTTTATGCCTGTTGGATATAATAATACCATGTTTTTATTACTGTGGCGAAAACATAATAAGCCTGCTTCTCATGGGGATTTAATTTAATTTAATTTGATTTTTTTTTTTTTTTACTTTATCGCATCAGCTGTAAAGTCAAGGATATACAGCCATAAGCAAAAGACAAAAATACTCTTAGACATATACTACCTACGCACATGACATAATTAATAGTAATGATAATAATACTGATAATGATAATATTGATGGTGATGATATTGACAATATAATAATGATAATATTAATGATGATAATGATAATGAATGATAATATTAATAGTAACAATTTTGTTTATCCAGGGAAGCCTCAATGCTATTTTCCTGATGGCTCTGCAATTATTAATAATAATTTAAACCTCCACTATTATAATAGAGAAAATGTTATTGCCCTGTGTTTTGCATAATAATTGTCTTGAAATTGGAAATCGTGCACTGCATGATCGTTGTGGTAGCTCTTTCGACTTTTCAACTTCGGAATCCACACAAGTTTGATTCTTGCTGACAATATAGTACGTGATCAGTCATTGATGTTATCAAGTGTAATAACTCATTGATGTGATATATTGATCATCGACTCACCACGCAAACATGACATTCTCTTGGAGCGATCAATAGAAACTATATTATCAAGGCTTTGTTTAGTATAGCCTGGGTGTTCACCCTGGGAGTGGAAAAACCCGGGTTTATTATACATCATCACATATACAGAAGAAGAACACAAACACTTTCATGCAAATGAAAAGGAAACGTCTCTCTCACTTTCACTCCAATCGATTAACATTATTTTTCCTTTTGTTATCTGTATTAAGGGTATATACTTTCTTTTGCAGTCTGATTTCAGCCAGGTTAAACAAAATAACAACCCAAACCCCTCATGTTTATTATTTTTACTTGCGGGAATTCTGTCTGTCGAACCATCCAAAGTCCCAATGGTGAGAGGGTTGGGGGGGGGGGGGGAGGACGTGATGCCTTTACCAAAAAAGCTTATAATGGTGGGTATGAACCGTGAAGGGGGGGGGGGGGGGCAAAACGTTTAGTTTTCTCGGATCTATACTTGGTAATCAGACAATGATCGCTCCGGTTGTATATTTAAATGGAATTCACATATGTATTTCCTTGTCATTGACTATATAGCCCCGGACTTATGGTCAACAATTAGTAGCAGAACAAAACAGTGAATACATTCAAAAGCAGAAGGAGGCGAAAACCCGGAAAAAACAAAACCCGGACAAATTACTGTAAAAACTGGAAAGAGAGCCAGTTAAATATTGGAGTATCAGTTCATTTGAATTGAATGTTCAAGAGTCCTAATATTTTAATACATCAGTGTTTCTACAGTCTGAACGGTGTTTACGATATATAGACTAAAGATTGCAGCGTCATAGAATAGCAATTAATTAAAGGTACTATGTCCCTTTTGC